CGAGGTGGCCGGTGGAGATGGGACCGAGGTCTCTCCACCGGCCCTACAGGGATGCTGGGCAACCGGCCCAGATCCCCAACTAGAGCTGGAGTTACAGAAAGTGGAGAGCATCGACCTCCCCCCCCAGCAGCAGCCAGAGTACCAGGGGGATGTAAGTGATATTTCTCCTCCCCAGCCAACTCCTTTGTTCCCTGACCCCCCAGCAGAAGAGCTGGCAACTGGGCAGAGCGCCGCTGGCCTCTGTCCTCCCTTGTTTCCTTCCCCTGAGCCTGACTTTCTACAGGCTGCCCCAGCGGAAGGTGCCGTCCTTCCTCCCCAGCGGCAGTGCGTACCCCAGGGAGCTGATGGTGTTGTCCGTCCTCCCCAGCAGCAGTGTGTAACCCAGGGAGCCGAAGGTGTCGTCCTTCCTCCCCAGCGGCAGTGTGTACCCCAGGGAGCTGAAGGTGTCGTCCTTCCTCCCCAGCGGCAGTGTGTCCTGCAGGGAGCAGAGACCGTCAGTCTCACACCCCAGCAGCAGGACAAAATAATGAAAGGGGAGACAGCTGGTCCGCCTCTCCACCAGCAGAGAGAGTGTCAGGGAGAGGAGCCTGTTAACCCCTCTCCCCAGCGGCAGTTGACAGTCCAGAGAGAGGAGCTTGTTACACCCTCTCTCCAGCGGCAGCCTAACCCACCAAGGGGAGATGTTGAGCCCCGCAACTGTGCAGATGGGACCGTAGTCTCTGCGCTTACAGCCCAAGGGGTAGAGACGGTCGGTCCTGTTCCCCAGCCCCAGAGCTGTGTACCCAGAGGGGAGACGGTCGGTCTCCCCCTCCCACAACCAGGCTCCAATCAGGCTACTTCGGTGGTAGCACTGGCACCAGGGCAGAGTACCGCTGGTCTCTGCCCACTCAGCAACCCACCAAGGCAGTCTACCAGCTCCCCACACAGCCGTGGTGAGGCACCTGGACATGGACAAGTTGCTACTTTATCCAGGTGGAGTAAACATTTATTGTGGGTGGGCTGTACTGCTGTTTGTGCTTCGTGGGTGGGTTGCTGGACTAACCAGGGCACTGACCGGCAGGAGGTCAGATACCCTGTTAGTCTGGGGGCAAAGGGGAGAAGTGTGGCAAAACCGACCTCGCCACGTGTCCTTGGAGGGGGCTGCTTGCCCGCCTCTTGCCTTTGGACTATGGCCCTGCAGGTTAAACTGTTTATTTTCCCTGCAGAAAGGCTTATTCGTGTGATCTGAGTGCCATTCATCTAATAATGTGCAGTCAGATCCAAGCTATCTGGGGATATGTAGAAATGTGTGTTTTATGTACTAAATGTGTCAGTATGTAATTTTATGTCTTTTACTGTCTTTTTGTCTGCCATGTGGGTAATGGAGTTTGGCTCTGTCTTTGGAGATAATTAGATTCCTTCTCCAATTATCTCCAGGGCAGAAGGGAGGAAGCCAGGATGCATTGTGGGGATGTTTTACTTTTACTGTTTGAGCCAGGGGGAACAAAAGATACTTTTACTAACTTTTGAACCCCTGGTCTGATTCATGCCATTTTTTAATATGTTGTTCCCCTGAATGGATTGATTGTGAATATGTATTTTTATGCGAATGTGATGTATATTTTGGGAGTTATGAATGTTGTGTAAAAACTGTATTTTCCCTACCTATGATAATTGTATTTCCCTGTGTGTACAGATAATTAGTTTACAGGTAGAGGGGAGGGCTATGTGTGGGATGTAACTATTGTGTGATTGGTTAATGTACGTTACTGTGTGTGTCCCTCCCCTTCATGGGAGCACCTAATAAAAAGGGCTGCAAGCTAGCAGCCAGAGAGTTCTATTTTTACCCTCAACTTGAGTCCTGTCTCTTATTGGGGGAATCTGCTACAAGGGATTGCTATGCTAGGCATATTCCCTTGCTATAATCACTGAGCTCTTGTAAGAGCTTGTTCCTGCTTCGTTCTGAAGGGAGATAGCTGCAGCCTGCGGTTCTTATGGTGTCTGGTGGAGTGCTTGGAGTCCTCTGGAAGCGCTAGGAGCATCTTTCAACGGAGGTGCCCAGTCGGGGTGCCAGGTGATCCGTTACATAACCTATACCTGATTGGTGATTTAATGCCTCCCCCTGGGTGTGTATTTCTTGTCTGTAACCCTAATAAAAAGCAGGCTGGAGATTCCAGACCTCAGATCTACTTGTATCCTGATTCTGGACTCTGACTGTTATTTGGGAATTCGTATGCTTTACCAAGGGAATTATCTTGGGAAGCTGTTATATTTCTTATGGACTTCATTGCTTAGAGCTACCTTGGACGCTGACATTGCAGGAGGAATTATCAAAGCGGTTCAGCTATACTTGATTTCCTTACAAATACACCATGTAAACATTCACAGTGCAGGTGGAAAAAGTATGTGAACCCCTAGACCAGGGGTAGGCAACCTACGGCACTAGTGCCATGCCCGGCACTCGAGGCGTCTTTCCATGGCACTCAAGGCTGCTAGAGGCTCTGGCCTATCAGAAGTCTCAGTGAAATTTCAGATATCTGCTAATACGAAAAGGTGGTGAAGCAAAATCCTCAATTTATGCATTGCAGAACGTAGAGGAAGTGATCTCAGATCAGTTCCTCTCAGCACTTGTGAATGGGAATCCACACTGTAGTAGAGCAGCTTGCAGCTGAGGTTGCAGCTTCTGTCCTTGACCTGTACCTGGCCAACCTGGTCCCCACTGGAACCCAGGAAAGCCACCCACACTGCTAGATATACACAGACCTGCAGAATAAGCCTTCCCTCATACAAATAATACGAACAGCCCACACACAAACATACACACAATCCCCACAAACGCAACACCACTAACAATCCACATACATGCACACAATACTACATGCAGCCTCTCACATGCAATACCCCAAACAGCCCCTCACATACACACAATGTGACATATCCATCCCCACACAATTCCACAAGCAGCCCTCATATACAGCCCACATTCATATGTATCATACACGATACCATAAACTACTAATGAACATATACAATATAATAGCTCATATACGCACAAATACAACGCAATTACAGTAAAAATAACACAAGCAGAATACGGCAGCATACACACCTCAATTTAAAAAAAATAGGATCGGGACACTACGAGACATCACAATCCTATATCGGCACAGTGCTGCTAAAAGGTTGCCTACCCCTGCCCTAGACTAATGACATCCCCAAGAGCTAATTGGAGGGAGATGTCAGCCAACTGGAGTCTAATCAATGACATGAGATTGGAGGTGTTTGTTACATCTGCCCTATAAAAAACACACACCAGTTCTAGGTTTGCTTTTCACAAGAAGCATTGCCTAATGTGAATGATGCCTCGCACAAAAGAGCTCTCAGAAGACCTACGATTAAGAATTGTTGACTTGCATAAAGCTGGAAAGGGTTATAAAAGTATCTCCAAAAGCCTTGCTGTTCATCAGTCCACGGTAAGACAAATTGTCTATAAATGGAGAAACTTCAGCACTGCTGCTACTCTCCCTACGAGTGGCTGTCCTGTAAAGATGACTGCAAGAGCACACTGACTGCAATGAGGTGAAGAAGAATCCTAGAGTGTCAGCTAAAGACTTACAAAAGTCACTGGCAAATGCTAACATCCCTGTTAGTGAATCTACAATACGTAAAACACTAAACAAGAATGGATTTCATGGGAGGATACCACAGAGGAAGCCACTGCTGTCCAAACAAAACATTGCTGCACGTTTACAGTTTGCACAAGAGCACATGGATGTTCCACAGCAGTACTGGCAAAATATTCTGTGGACAGATGAAACCAAAGTTGAGTTGTTTGGAAGAAACACACAACACTATGTGGCGAAAAAAAGGCACAGCACACCAACATCAAAACCTCATCCCAACTGTAAAGTATGGTGGTGGGGGCATCATGGTTTGGGGCTGCTTTGCTGCGTCAGGGCCTGGACGGATTGCTATCATCGAAGGAAAAATGAATTCCCAAGTTTATCAAGACATTTTGCAGGAGAACTTAAAGCCATCTGTCAACCAGCTGAAGCTCAACAGAAGATGGGTGTTGCAACAGGACAATGACCCAAAGCATAGAAGTAAATCAACAACAGAATGGCTTAAACAGTAGAAAATACGCCTTCTGAAGTGGCCCACTTAGAGTCCTGACCTCAACCCGATTGAGATGCTGTGGCATGACCTCAAGAAAGCGATTCACACCAGACATCCCAAGAATATTGCTGAACTGAAACAGTTCTGTAAAGAGGAATGGTCAAGAATTACTCCTGACCGTTGTGCACATCTGATCTGCAACTACAGGAAACATTTGGTTGAAGTTATTGCTGCTATAGGAGGTTCAACCAGTTATTAAATCCAAGGGTTCACATACTTTTTCCACCTGCACTGTGAATGTTTACATGGTGTGTTCAATAAAAACATGGCAACATTTCATTCTTTGTGTGTTATTAGTTTAAGCAGACTGTGATTGTCTATTGGTTTTTATGACCAATTTGTGCAGAAATCCATATCATTCCAAAGGGTTCACATACTTTTTCTTGCACCTGTATTTTAATAGATGGAATAATAGGTAGAGTTTTGAAATCTACTGAGCCAGACACAATAAATCTCATGCAATAGATACCTGACACTGTAACTCCATGTATAACGCTAGGTTCACAGGAGCTTGATTGAATTTATTCTTATTATTTCTCAACTCAAACTACTATTTTGTCTCGATCATGATCAAATAGAGATAGATTTGACATCCCATTCACTTATAATATAGATTTTTGTATATTTATATTTAATATCTTATTACTATTGGGCTACTTTAACTTTCCAGGAAACACAGCGAGTCACATACTATGCACTGTGTATTCATCTGTTCCTTTTCTTGGTTATTTACTAAAGTAAGAATTGCAAATCTAAGACCAAAATGTGTGAACAGTCAGCATAGCTGGCTTGGATGATTTTCCCATTTCAGCTGTTTCACAAAGTAGCCCGTAGCATATTATATTCTGTAGTATGTTCTCTAGTGAATTGAGAGTCATTGTTTTGTTTTGTTTTTTGCAGGACTCAGTATGTGGTTTCTTGTTCTCCTCCTTCTACCTCCCGCTTCCCAGACAGCAGACAAATCTGACGGAGAATGGGTGCATTTGCCTAGCAAGTGTGAAGGTAGTGTGATAGTAATTAAGTTCTATGTTTGTCTGAAAATAGGGCAGTAGTTCCAGGTCTGTTTAAGCACCAAAATGATCTTAATGGTCTTAAAGATGCTGCCACCTTTGGCCTGGCTCATGAAAACTGTGCAGCTTCTTATAAATAACACGGTTTACATTTAGCAATTTCACACAGACCGCTATTAGAGGTTCCAGTACGGAAAGTATTCATTAGTTGAATCATTTTGCCGTCCAATGTCTCCTTACTATGTTTGATTGAAAAGCAATGGTTTGGAGAATCACAAGATTGCACTTGAACCTGTGAGTCCTCAAAGCATTTGTATGAGAAGTATCACCGTCTGATTCTAACCTGGTTGCTCTGGTAATACCATTAAACTTCCCTCAGTACAGGCCTCACGGACTTCAGAGCTCTGTTTTTTATGTAATATTTAGTCTATGATATACATTTACTTGTATTCTGGGCAATCTTCTTATTTCATATTTGCTGGCTTGTAGATTGGATGGTTTACTACTGTAGGCTACCCCACTGTAACGGACCGTTTCTCTCACAAGAGGATAAAAACCGTTTAGGCGATAATCCCCTTTCCCATAGACCAGCAGCTACTGCAAGCACCAAACTCCCGAACTGCAAACTGTACGAATTCACCAACTCCCGAACTGGAAACACACGAACACTGGAATCAGCCGAACAGGAAAAGCATACAATCCGTTTACACTCCTGGCAGTCAGCATACAATCCAATTCCCCCCAAAATCGAGACGACACATCGGTTTGAGGGTCAAGCAGAATCTCCCTGTACTGTCACATACAGTCTCATTTATTCCCAATCCACAAACATAGTACAGCCCACAGGGCGTTACAAAACAACCAATCAATCCGTACAATACACCCAGACACTCCCACACAAAATCCTCCCCTCTGCAGGTGATATGATTACTGAACACAATGGGTAATCTCATTATCACCGGCAGAGGAATACAGTTTTTACACAATATTTATAACTTCTAAAATATACATGTCACAAACATAAAACATACATTTTCATAATCAATCCATTCAGGGAACAACATATTAAAAAATGGCACGAATCAGACCAGGGGTTCAAAAGTTAAGGGAAAGTCCTTTGTGACTAAATGAAGCATGGCTTTCTGGCCCAAACCAGTTTCAGAGTCTTCTATCCTGGAGAGTAATTCAATTATCTCCCAGGACAGACACAAGACTCCATTAAGCACATGGTTGCAAAAAGACACAAAACACTTTAAAATACATAAAGTCACATTTACACATAACACACAGACATTTCACATATCCCCAGATAGCTGGGATCTGAGTGCACATTATTAGATGAATGGCACTCAGATCACACAAATAAGCCTTTCTGCAGGGGAAATAAACGGTTTAACCTGCAGGGCCATAGTCCAAAGGGAGCAGGCGAGCAACCAGGCTTCTCCAGTTCACAGTGGCGAGGTTGGTTTTGCCACACCCACCATCTTAAAATATCCAGATAGTCCTCAGCCACAATGAGAGAGACTTGATCTGAGGCCATGCATTCCTATCTCCAGCAATAGTTGTGACCCTGTTCACAAACAATGATTGAAATGCATGTCCTCCTGTAGCTAAGACAGTGCAGATATAGTGTGTTGTGCATGTTTGAATTCAATAATATTGTGTGTTTGGAAAAGAGCTTGGTGGAATATGGATAATGTATAGGAATGTGGTATCAGGAAAGTGGAGGGGTAGGTGTATTTGGCTCAGTTTATAGGTTGTGTGGGATTGATAATGTGTTTGGGGGTCTTGGGATAGTGTAGAGGGGCATGGTGGGAATAGGGTAGTGTATAGGTTGTGTGGGATTGATAGTGTGTTGGGGGGTCTTGGGATAGTGTAGAGGGGCATGGTGGGAATAGGGTAGTGTATAGGTTGTGTGGGATTGATAGTGTGTTGGGGGGTCTTGGGATAGTGTAGAGGGGCATGGTGGGAATAGGGTAGTGTATAGGTTGTGTGGGATTGATAATGTGACAGGGGGCATGATGGAATTGGTACAATGTGGCAGGGAGGGGCTTGGTGGAATTGGGATAATGTATAGATTGTTTGGTTTGATAATGTGGTAGTGGGACAGTTTATATGGGCATGGTGGGATTGGGATAGTGTATAGGTTGGGGGGGCTTTGGATAGTGTACAGGGGGTTTGGTGAGATTGGGATCGTGTATAGTCAGCTTGGTGGGATTGGGATGGTGTATAGTCAGCTTGGTGGGTTTGGGATGGTGTATAGTCAGCTTGGTGGGTTTGGGATCGTGTATAGTCAGCTTGGTGGGTTTGGGATGGTGTATAGTCAGCTTGGTGGGTTTGGGATGGTGTATAGTCAGCTTGGTGGGTTTGGGATGGTGTATAGTCAGCTTGGTGGGTTTGGGATCGTGTATAGTCAGCTTGGTGGGTTTGGGATCGTGTATAGTCAGCTTGGTGGGTTTGGGATCGTGTATAGTCAGCTTGGTGGGTTTGGGATGGTGTATAGTCAGCTTGGTGGGTTTGGGATCGTGTATAGTCAGCTTGGTGGGATTGGGATGGTGTATAGTCAGCTTGGTGGGTTTGGGATGGTGTATAGTCAGCTTGGTGGGTTTGGGATGGTGTGTATACCTTTTACAGTCCACCACATGGTGCATATTTTGTCCACAGTTTGTAAATATGTGGCAGTGGAGCTCAAGTCCTCTTTTCATGAGACATCTCGGAAGAGAGAGGTGATTGAAACTCGCTATGGATTCCTCGAAGAGGACAAAAAGAAAAAGAAGATTAGATACACCAATTCGTGAGTTGTAGGAGAAATTAAATCTGTGTTGTGTACTTGGACCTCCTTTCCTGTTGTTCACTATTCATCACCTGCCAGCTTCTGTGGCCTTTTAGCCATTCATATAGTCAGTAGGTCTATCACCGGGCCAGATTCACCCACTGTGCCTGTTGACAGCTGCCTTGCAAATTGAAAAAATAATTGCAATCTCTCCCATATTGATATTTATTCTTACTGGATTATTGTGACCTACGATATGAAGGTCTGCTGTAATCTCACGTGAGCTCCTGTTTTTGGAATAGATACCTGTATGTTCTCTGTAAGTGACCGTGTGTTGTTCCCAGGGACATTCGGCTGATTGAAGTCACGGAGGGCCTTTGTCAAAGGCTCCTGGAATACAATTTGCATAAAGAACGCAGTGGCAGCAATCGATTTGCTAAGGTGTGCGATTTATAGTGACCTTTACATAGTACTAATTCACCACATATACAGACCTCTGTACGGTAATTCACCACATATACAGACCTCTGTACGGTAACTCACCACATACCGTATCTCGCGAAAATGATTACACCCCTCACATTTTGTAAATATTTTATATCTTTTTTTAATGTGACAACACTGATAAAATGACTCTGCTGCAATGGAAAGTAGTGTACAGCCTGTATAACAGGGTAAATTTGCTGTCACCTCAAAATAACTCAACACACAGCCATTAATGTCTAAACCGTTGGCAACATAAGTGAGTATGCCCCTAAGTGAAAATGTCCAAATTAGGCCCAATCAGCCATTTTCCCTCCCTGGTGTCATGTGACTCATTTGTGCTACAAGGTCTCAGGTGTGAATGGGGAGCAGGTGTGTTAAATTTCTTTATCGCTCTCACACTCTCTCATACTGGTCACTGGAAGTTCAACATGGCACCTCATGACAAAGAACTCTCTGAGGATCTGAGAAATAGAATTGTTGCTCTACATAAAGATGGCCTAGTCTATAATAAGATTGCTAAGACCTTGAAACTGAGCTGCACAGACCATACAGCGGTTTCACAGGACAGGTTCCACTCAGAACAGGCCGTGCCATGGTCAACCAAAGAAGTTGCTCAGCATCATATTCTGAGGTTGTCTTTGGGAAATAGATGTATGAGTGCATTGCCGCAGAGGTTGAAGGGGTGGGGGGTCAGCCTGTCAGTGCTCAGACTATACGACGCACACTGCATCAAATTGGTCTGCATGGCTGTGGTCCCAGAAAGAAGCCTCTTCTAAAGATGATGCACAAAAAAGCCCGTAAACAGTTTGCTGAAGACAAGCAGACTAAGGACATTGAATACTGGAACCATGTCCTGTGGTTCGATGAGACCACGATAAAAGTATTTGGTTCAGATGGTGTCAAGCGTGTTTGGCAGCAACCAGGTGAGGAGTACAAAGACAAGTGTGTCTTGCCTACAGTCAAGCATGGTGGGAGTGTGATGGTCTCGGCCTGCATGAGTGCTGCTGGCACTAGGGAGCTACAGTTCATTGAGGGAACCATGAATGCTAACATGTACTGTGACATACTGAAGCAGAGCATGATCCTCTTCCTTTGGAGACTGAGCCGCAGGGCAGTATTCCAACATGATAACGACCCCAAACACACCTCCAAGACGACCACTGCCTTGGTAAAGGTGATGGACTGGCCAAGCATATCTCCAAACCTAAACCCTATCGAGCATCTGTGGGGTATCCTCAAACGGAATGTGGAGGTGCCCAAGGTCTCTAACATCCACCAGCTCCGTAAAGTCGTCATGGAGGAGTGGAAGAGGACTCCCGTGGCAACCTGTGAAGCTCTTGTGAACTTCATGCCCATGATGGTTAAGACAGTGCTGGAAAATAATGGTGGCCACACAAAATATTGACACTTTGGGCCCAATTTGGACATTTCCACTTAGGGATCTACTCACTCTTGTTGCCAACAGTTTAGACGTTAATGGCTGTGTGTTGAGTTATTTTGAGGGGACAGCAAATTTAAACTGTTATACAGGCTGTACACTTACTACTTTACATTGTAGCAGAGTGTCATTTCTTCAGTGTTGTCACATGAAAAGATATAATAAAATAATTACAAAATGTGAAGGGTGTACTCACTTTTGTGAGATACTGTATACAGACCTCTGTAGATAGGTTACCACATATACAGACCTCGGTATGGTAATTCACCACATATACAGACCTCGGTATGGTAATTCACCACATATACAGACCTCTGTACGGTAACTCACTACATATACAGACCTCTGTACGGTAACTCACTACATATACAGACCTCTGTACGGTAACTCACTACATATACAGACCTCTGTACGGTGATTCACTAGATATACAGACCTTTGTACGGTAACTCACTACATATACAGACCTCTGTACGGTAACTCACCATGTACATGTAAATATGTAAATTGTCACCTTGCCTCTTATAAGCGTTTATATTATCACAGGGGATGTCCGAGACCTTCCAGACTCTCCACCACCTTGTCCATAAAGGAGTAAAGGTGGTGATGGATATTCCGTATGATTTGTGGAATGAAACTTCTGCGGAGGTTGCTGATATGAAGAAACAGGTACAAGGATATCAGGGCATCAATCTGCTATAAAATGTCTGAGGAGGGGGTAAATTAACTGTGATTTGAAGGCTTGTTTCAACGAGGGGTGGGGGTGTAATGATATATGGGACAGTGAGGAGCACAGGGGCTAAATAGAGCGTGCACTTCGTTACTAGGAGTGTTCTCGGTCTACAGTTGCTGTCTTTCACAGACTCACTTATTTATTGCTGTCCCACACTCACGTGCCATTCTCTCTGAGTATCTGTTGTTTTACTTATTGACCGCCTCATCTCATTCTCACTCACTCATCCATTCCCACAGCCTATAGTTCTTCTTCTCAGTTCCTCTTGTTCGCCTCTTATTCTGGTGCCTACCCTGCCACAGTCTCTCATTCCCTGATGCCTATCTTGCCACGGTTCCTGATTCCTTGGGGTTCTGCCTGCCACGGTCCCTGATTCCCCAGGGCTCTGCCTCCCACAGTCCCTAATTCCATGGGGTCCTGCCTCCCACGGTCCTTGGGGCCCTGCCTGCCAAGATCCATGATTCCCTGGGGCTTACCCTGCCACTGTCCCTCATTCTTTAGTGCCCACCCTGCCACTGTCCCTGCTTCACTGGTGCCCACCCTGCCACTGTCCCTGCTTCACTGGTGCTCACCCTCCCACGGTCTCTCATTCCCTGGTGCTCACCCTCCCACGGGGTCTCATTCCCTGGTGCTCACCCTCCCACGGTCTCTCATTCCCTGGTGCTCACCCTCCCACGGTCTCTCATTCCCTGGTGCTCACCCTCCCACGGTCTCTCATTCCCTGGTGCTCACCCTCGCACAGTCTCTCATTCCCTGGTGCTCACCCTCGCACGGTCTCTCATTCCCTGGTGCTCACCCTCGCACGGTCTCTGTCTATTGGTTTTCTCTGTTGATAATCTAAGTTTTCAGTTCTTTCTTCCTTTCCTCATTCTTTTACTTCCCTGTCTCATGTTTAAATAACCTGCCTCTCTGCCCTGTACAGTGCGAATTATTGATGGAGGAATATGAAGAGGTCATTGAGGACTGGTACCGTAATCACCAAGAAGAGGATATTACAGATTTTCTATGTGCCAGACATGTACTGAAAGGCCAAGATAAGAGTAAGTGTTAAACACACAGTATATATGGAATCTACCAGTCCTGCTTCTATACATCTATAGATTTATATAGTGTATAAACAGAGCGATCTCTGCTTCTATCTATCTATGGATTTATATAATGTATAAACAGAGCGAGCCCTGCTTCTATCTATCTATGGATTTATATAGTGTATAAACAGAGCGAGCCCTGCTTCTATCTATGGATTTATATAGTGTATAAACAGAGTGAGCCCTGCTTCCTTCTATCTATGGATTTATATAGTGTATAAACAGAGCGAGCCCTGCTTCTATCTATCTATGGATTTATATAGTGTATAAACAGAGTGAGCCCTGCTTCTATCTATCAATGGATTTATATAGTGTATAAACAGAGCGAGTCCTGCTTCTATCTATCTATCTATGGATTTATATAGTGTATAAACAGAGCGAGCCCTGCTTCTATCTATCTATCTATCTATCTATGGATTTATATAGTGTATAAACAGGGCGAGTCCTGCTTCTATCTATCTATGGATTTATATAGTGTATAAACAGAGCGAGCCCTGCTTCTATCTATCTATGGATTTATATAGTGTATAAACAGAGCGAGCCCTGCTTCTATCTATCTATGGATTTATATAGTGTATAAACAGAGCGAACCCTGCTTCTATCTATCTATGGATTTATATAGTGTATAAACAGGGCGAGCCCTGCTTCTATCTATCTATGGATTTATATAGTGTATAAACAGAGCGAGCCCTGCTTCTATCTATGGATTTATATAGTGTATAAACAGAGCGAGCCCTGCTATCTATCTATGGATTTGTATAGTGTATAAACAGTGCGAGTCCTGCTTCTATCTATCTATGGATTTATATAGTGTATAAACAGAGCGAGCCCTGCTTCTATCTATCTATGGATTTATATAGTGTATAAACAGAGCGAGCCCTGCTTCTATCTATCTGTGGATTTATATAGTGTATAAACAGAGCGAGCCCTGCTTCTATCTATCTATGGATTTATATAGTGTATAAACAGAGCGAGCCCTGCTTCTATCTATCTATGGATTTATATAGTGTATAAACAGAGCGAGCCCTGCTTCTATCTATCTATGGATTTATATAGTGTATAAACAGAGCAAGCCCAGCTTCTATCTATCTATGGATTTATATAGTGTATAAACAGAGCAAGCCCTGCTTCTATCAATCTTTGGATTTATATAGTGTATAAACAGAGCGAGCCCTGCTTCCATCTATCTATGGATTTATATAGTGTATAAACAGAGCGAGCCCTGCTTCTATACATCTATAGATTTATATAGTGTATAAACAGAGCGATCTCTGCTTCTATCTATCTATGGATTTATATAGTGTATAAACAGAGCGAGCCCTGCTTCTATCTATCTATGGATTTATATAGTGTATAAACAGAGCGAGTCCTGCTTCTATCAATCTATGGATTTATATAGTGTATAAACAGAGCGAGCCCTGCTTCTATCTATCTATAGATTTATATAGTGTATAAACAGAGCGAGCCCTGCTTCTATCTGTCTATGGATTTATATAGTGTATAAACAGAGCGAGCCCTGCTTCTATCTATGGATTTATATAGTGTATAAACAGAGCGATCTCTGCTTCTATCTATGAATTTATATAGTGTATAAACAGAGCGAACCCTGCTTCTATCTATCTATGGATTTATATAGTGTATAAACAGAGCGAGCCCTGCTTCTATCTATCTATGGATTTATATAGTGTATAAACAGAGCGAGCCCTGCTTCTATCTATCTATGGATTTTATATAGTGTATAAACAGAGCGAGCCCTGCTTCTATCTATCTATGGATTTATATAGTGTATAAACAGAGCGAGCCCTGCTTCTATCTATCTATAGATTTATATAGTGTATAAACAGAGCGAGCCCTGCTTCTATCTGTCTATGGATTTATATAGTGTATAAACAGAGCGAGCCCTGCTTCTATCTATGGATTTATATAGTGTATAAACAGAGCGATCTCTGCTTCTATCTATGAATTTATATAGTGTATAAACAGAGCGAACCCTGCTTCTATCTATCTATGGATTTATATAGTGTATAAACAGAGCGAGCCCTGCTTCTATCTATCTATGGATTTATATAGTGTGTAAACAGAGTGAGCCCTGCTTCTATCTATCTATGGATTTATATAGTGTGTAAACAGAGTGAGCCCTGCTTCTATCTATCTATGGATTTATATAGTGTATAAACAGAGCGAGCCCTGCTTCTATCTATCTATGGATTTATATAGTGTATAAACAGAGCAAGCCCTGCTTCTATCTATCTATGGATTTATATAGTGTATAAACAGAGCGAGTCCTGCTTCTATCTATGAATTTATATAGTGTATAAACAGAGTGAGCCCTGCTTATATCTATCTATGGCTTTATATAGTGTATAAACAGAGCGAGCCCTGCTTCTATCTATCTATGGATTTATATAATGTATAAACAGAGCGAGCCCTGCTTCTATCTATCTATGGATTTATATAGTGTATAAACAGAGCGAGCCCTGCTTCTATCTATCTATGGATTTATATAGTGTATAAACAGAGCGAGCCCTGCTTCTATCTATCTATGGATTTATATAGTGTATAGACAGAGCGAGCCCTGCTTCTGTCTATCTATGGATTTATATAGTGTGTAAACAGAGCGAGCCCTGCTTCTATCTATGGATTTATATAGTGTATAAACAGAGCGAGCCCTGCTGCTATCTATCTATGGATTTATATAGTGTATAAACAGAGCGAGCCGTGCTTCTATCTATCTATGTATTTATATAGTGTATAAACATAGCGAGCCCTGCTTCTATCTATGGATTTATATAGTGTATAAACAGAACGAGCCGTGCTTCTATCTATCTATGGATTTATATAGTGTATAAACAGAGCGAGCCCTGCTTCTATCTATGGATTTATATAGTGTATAAACAGAGCAAGCCCTGCTTCTTTCTATCTATGGATTTATATAGTGTATAAACAGAGCGAGCCCTGCTTCTTTCTATCTATGGATTTATATAGTGTATAAACAGAGCGCGTCCTGCTTCTATCTATCTATGGATTTATATAGTGTATAAACAGAGCGAGCCCTGTTTCTATCTATCTAGCACAGAACGAACCGTGCTTCTATCTATCTATGGAAGCCCTGATTCTATCTATCTAAGGATTTATATAGTGTATAAACAGAGCGAGCCTTGCTTCTATCTATCTATGGATTTATATAGTGTATAAACATAGCGAGCCCTGCTTCTATCTATGGATTTATATAGTGTATAAACAGAACGAGCCGTGCTTCTATCTATCTATGGATTTATATAGTGTATAAACAGAGCGAGCCGTGCTTCTATCTATCTATGGATTTATATAGTGTATAAACAGAACGAGCCGTGCTTCTATCTATCTATGGATTTATATAGTGTATAAACAGAGCGAGCCCTGCTTCTATCTATGGATTTATATAGTGTATAAACAGAGCGAGCCCTGCTTCTATCTATCTATGGATTTATATAGTGTATAAACAGAATGAGCCCTGCTTCTATCTATCTAGCACAGAAACGCAGCCAGTGTTTCTATCTAACACTCATGGAAGCCCTGCTTCTATCTATCTAATGATTTATATAGTGTATGTTCGTAGAGTAGCCCTGCTTCTATTCCATCTATGATTTATATAGTGTATAAAACAGAGCGCAGCCCTGCTTCTTTCTATCTATGGATTTTTTATAGTATAAAACAGAGTAGCCCTTTCCTCTTTCTATCTATGGATTTATATAGTGTATAAACAGAGCTGCAGCCCTGCTTTTCTATCTATGGATTTATATATAGTGTATAAACAGAGAGCTGTTCTCTTTCTATCTATGATTTATATGTATAAAACAGAATGAGCCGTGTTTCTATCTATCTATGTATTATATAGTGTATAAACATAGCAGCTCCCGCTTCTATCTATGGATATATATATAGTGTATAAACAGAGCGAGCCCTGCTTCTATCCATCTATGGATTTATATAGTGTATAAACAGAGTGAGTCCTGCTTCTATCTATGGATTTATATAGTGTATAAACAGAGCGAGCCCTGCTTCTATCTATCTATGGATTTATATAGTGTATAAACAGAATGAGCCCTGCTTCTATCTATCTATGGATTGATATAGTGTATAAACAGAGCGAGCCCTGCTTCTATCTATCTATGGATTTATATAGTGTATAAACAGAATGAGCCGTGCTTCTATCTATCTATGTATTTATATAGTGTATAAACATAGCGAGCCCTGCTTCTATCTATGGATTTATATAGTGTATAAACAGAGCAAGCCCTGCTTCTATCTATCTATGGATTTATATAGTGTATAAACAGAGCGAGCCCTGCTTCTATCTATCTATGGATTTATATAGTGTATAAACAGAGCGAGCCCTGCTTCTATCTATCTATGGATTTATATAGTGTATAAACAGAGCGAGCCCTGCTTCTATGTATGGATTTATATAGTGTATAAACAGAGCGAGCCCTGCTTCTATCTATGGATTTATATATAGTGTATAAACAGAGCGAGCCCTGCTTCTATCTATCTATGGATTTATATAGTGTATAAACAGAGCGAGCCCTGCTTCTATCTATGGATTTATATAGTGAATAAACAGAGCGAGCCCTGCCTCTATCTATCTATGGATATATATAGTGTATAAACAGAGCGAGCCCTGCTTCTATCTATCTATGGATTTATATAGTGTATAAACAGAGCGAGCCCTGCTTCTATCTATCTATGGATTTATATAGTGTATAAACAGAGCGAGCCCTGCTTCTATGTATGGATTTATATAGTGTTTAAACAGAGCGTGCCCTGCTTCTGTCTATCTATGGATTTATATAGTGTATAAACACAGCGAGCCCTGCTTCTATCTATGGATTTATATAGTGTATAAACAGAGCGAGCCCTGCTTCTATCTATGGATTTATACAGTGTATAAACAGAGCAAGCCCTGCTATCTATCTATGGATTTATATAGTGTATAAACAGAGCGAGCCCTGCTTCTATCTATCTATGGATTTATAAAGTGTATAAACAGAGCGAGTCCTGCTTCTATCTATCTATGGATTTATATAGTGTATAAACAGAGCGAGCCCTGCTTCTATCTATCTATGGATTTATATAGTGTGTAAACAGAGTGAGCCCTGCTTCTATCTATGGATTTATATAGTGTATAAACAGAGCGAGCCCTGCTATCTATCTATGGATTTATATAGTGTATAAACAGAGCGAGCCCTGCTTCTATCTACCTATGGATTTATATAGTGTATAAACAGAGCGAGCCCTGCTTCTATCTATCTATGGATTTATATAGTGTATAAACAGAGCGAGCCCTGCTTCTATCTATCTATGTATTTATATAGTGTATAAACAGAGCGAGCCCTGCTTCTATCTATCTATGGATTTATATAGTGTATAAACAGAGCGAGCCCTGCTTCTATCTATCTATGGATTTATATAGTGTATAAACAGAGCGAGCCCTGCTTCTATCTATCTATGGATTTATATAGTGTATAAATAGAGCGAGCCCTGCTTGTATCTATCTATGGATTTATATAGTGTATAAACAGAGCGAGCCCTGCTTCTATCTATCTATGGATTTATATAGTGTATAAACAGAGCGAGCCCTGCTTCTATCTATCTATGGATTTATATAGTATATAAACACAGCGAGCCCTGCTTCTATCTATGGATTTATATAGTGTATAAACAGAGCGAGCCCTGCTTCTATCTATCTATGGATTTATACAGTGTATAAACAGAGCAAGCCCTGCTTCTATCTATCTATGGATTTATATAGTGTATAAACAGAGCGAGCCCTGCTTCTATCTATCTATGGATTTATAAAGTGTATAAACAGAGCGAGTCCTGCTTCTATCTATCTATTGATTTATATAGTGTATAAACAGAGCGAGCCCTGCTTCTATCTATCTATGGATTTATATAGTGTATAAACAGAGCGAGCCCTGCTTCTATCTATCTATGGATTTATATAGTGTATAAACAGAGCGAGCCCTGCTTCTATCTATCTATGGATTTATATAGTGTATAAACAGAGCCAGCCCTGCTTCTATCTATCTATGGATTTATATAGTGTATAAACAGAGCGAGCCCTGCTTCTATCTATCTATGGATTTATATAGTGTATAAACAGAGCGAGCCCTGCTTCTTTCTATCTATGGATTTATATAGTGTATAAACAGAGCGAGCCCTGCTTCTATCTATCTATGGATTTATATAGTGTATAAGCCCACTTTACCAAAACTCCTTCATTAAGATAAAGTTCTTTTGATGTCTATAGTGTCCCTTTAAGATACAAATGAAAATGACTTATTTAAAAGAACACTCAAAGCAGCATAACTAGAGCTATTGTAGTTGTTATGGTGTGTGGAGTGTTCCTTTAATTCCTCTCGTTACTGGAAGCTCCTAAGCGAAGCCTTTGTGTCTAGGGCGGGCTCATTGGCGGAGACTGTCGGTTTGGCTCTTTTAACCAATGAGCCGCCCTACACACAAAAGCTTTTGCAGCTCTCTAATCTCTTAGAACCCTGTCCTGTTACAAGCAATGTGTTTGTTTCATACCTCCTACCTGTTATGGATTTGGTGGCTCCTTTCTGAATTGTGATGACACCACAGTCAGTAATGTCTGTGAATTGATAGGTTTCACAGGTCCGATACTGCCGCTATACCTAGTTCTGAGGTTATTAACGGAGACATTGACACAATGGCAGGGTGAGGATTGTCAGGAATTCCAAATTTTAGGCCAAAATACCTTTTCTGAGTACAAAGCAGAGATTGACAATTTCTCTCATTTTTAGCTGTTTTTGTTCTATAATTTTAAATTAACTGGAATTGAATTCCCAGTGTTTCACACTTTTGACATAATTTTATATTATATATCATTTGTAAATTCCTGCCGTTTTAGATGAATTCTTGAGATTGTTTCCTCAGCTTCCAAAACAGCAAATGTCCTTACTGCTGCTTTGGAATTCCCACAATGTACCTCGCTTTCCATGTTCTAATCATAGTGCAGATTTGGAATTCCCATGATGTCTCTCGCATTCCGTGTTCTGTCCTTACTGCTGCTTTGGAATTCCCACGATGTCTCTCACGTTCTGTGTTCTGTCCTTACTGCTGCTTTGGAATTACTTGGGATTCCCACGGTGTCTCTCACACTCAGTGTTCTGTCCTTACTGCTGCTTTTGAATTCCCACGATGTCCCTCGCTTTCCGTGTTCTAATCGTAGTGCTGATTTGGAATTCCCATGATGTCTCTCACGTTCTGTGTTCTGTGTTCTGTCCTTACTGCTGCTTTGAAATTCCCACAATGTGCCTCGCGTTCTGTGTTCTGTCCTTATTGTTGCTTTTGAATTTCCACGGTGTCTCTCACACTCCATGTTCTGTCCTTACTGCTGCTTTGGAATTCCCACGATGTCCCTCGCTTTCCGTGTTCTAATCGTACTGCTGCTTTGGAATTCCCATGATGTCTCTCGCATTCCGTGTTCTGTCCTTACTGCTGCTTTGGAATTCCCATGATGTCTCTCACGTTTCGTGTTCTGTCCTTACTGCTGCTTTGAAATTCCCACAATGTGCCTCGTGTTCTGGGTTCTGTCCTTATTGTTGCTTTGGAATTCCCTCGATGTCCCTCGCGTTCCATGTTTAGGAACTGCTACACCAATGCACATTTTAATTTCTAGTTATGTGATCAGATTTTAATCGTATCCATGCCGCCCTTCCTTTAATCTCACAAACAAATTGTCAGCTTCAGTTTTTCAGTCTTTGTTGTAAAATGAAGAGGAATTTGTATATCTGAAATTACAGGTTATCAACATATCTTTCTGTAACTACACAAAAACTTGCTAGCCCTTCCAGAGTGTGCAGTGTGCACGAATATAAAGTAGTGATTTTTGTTAACAACCAATCAGAAAAAAGTTAGGTACTCTAAAACTCCCCTCCCCATGCATCATTTCCTCTTTCAAGCTGCGACAAAACAGAACAAAAGGCAAAAAATATAATGGGGAAGAAACAAAGTCCTAGAAACAATGAATACAACAATGTCCACCATCCGAGGGGAACTGCCAAACCAGATAGCGTTGATGGACTGTAAACTGAAACAAGAAAAAACAGAATCGAACAGGCTGGTTAGCCAATGAAATGTACTCTGAACAAACATGTAGGTACCCAATGTAGCAACCAAATATACCCTAATATGTCGATATCCCAACCCTGCTTGTGAAAAATTAGACATTAAACAAGTGGCATACGTACCTGATAAACCCAAACTATTAAAATTAAACAAGGGAGGGATAAAAATGGGCGGGAAATACTCTCGTCCTGTCATTAACAAAATTAAAATTATAGGTACACTAAAGCTAGCATAATCTACAATTTTATAAGATGACAGGAGGCTTCGTATTTGCTGTTTTAACGCTCAGTCAACAAATCCAATGCTGTTTGTTTCGCTGGTTCCTATTCCGGGAGATAACTAGAGCAATCCCCAATAGACCCTCCAACTGTGAGAAGTTACAGTAGACGTATCAATGAAGATGCTAGCTGTCGATGTACTCCAAATACGGGAAAAACTCCATCCGCTGTTAGATCCACTGTATGTGGGGTTACGACCTGTTTCCTAGCAGACGTCCATGAACTGCAAAGCTGACCTATTAACCATTTCCCTGTAATTGTAAAACACAGAGGGTGTAAGGAAACAAAGTATATTTAAACCTCCTTTGGTAGTTTCCTCCCGAACCGCCAGAGCCTTAGTGATTATAGCCCTCTGTTCGGTAGTTAGGGTAGACGAATCCTATAGCAATTACAATAGTCTCACCAGATAATTCCCTCCGTGAAACACACGAATCTCCAAACATCAGCCGAAGTCAAGATGAAGGGTACAAAATGAACTGTCCTTTAATGGGTGCACACAGCTTTTATGCAAGTCCCCAAGCAAGGGGACAGCCCTCACGGAGGGACAAACAGTAACCAATCACAAACGGTAAAATGTTAACATACACGCACAATTCCCTCCCCTAGCCCATGAGATAATTTAGTCTGATAAAATAGTAACTTAATTATCTCCGGGCTGAAAAATCACTTTTTCCCCAACTTTCAGAACATACTGGAGTTATCCCCATAAATTATGTGTCCCCTGATAGCCCTGATCTGGGTGACCAACATATTCGAATTTCACCCAGATCGGTTCAGGGGTTCGCAAATTTTATGGAAGTCTTGTGTGACCGGCTAACCCTGGGCTGCATGCCCAAAACAGTTCCACGAATTTGGTGGGTTTTGCCGGTCACTTTCGAAAAAACATAAAAACGAATAAAAATACCAAATGGATCCCTCTGGCTCCTAGCAGCGTTCGTGCCCCTCTGTCGCATGCACCAAAGTACCGAATAGCGCTCTTCTAGCTATTCGGTAAATAGAGTTCCAGCGTTCGTCTGTTTGGGACCGTTGTTAGGGAAGTCTAGTGTCCGCAAAACAGTTCCATGCATTTGACGACCAGGTGTCGCTGCCTTTGTTCACATGAACAAAGATGGCCGCGGTTTTCTCTGCCACGTGGTGTTCGACTAACGAACGCTGGCCGCACAGACAGAGGTAGCAAGTTCACCTAAACCTTTGATGTTTAATGAGCCAGAGGGTGGTCCTTGTTCGGTAGTTCCATCTACCGAATGAAATAGGCAGCAATAGATAATAGTACATCACATAGGGAACGGGGGGGGGCGGTTTCTTCACAGAGGGTCATCCGTGGATTTAGGAACGCGAGAAAAACTGCCACCAGGTAGTGCTGTAAATTCCTGCCGTTTTAGATGAACTCTTGAGATTGTTTCCTCAGCTTCTAAAACAGCAAATGTCCTTACTGCTGCTTTGTAATTCCCAAGATGTCCCTCGCGTTCCGTGTTCTGTCCTTACTGTTGCTTTGGAATTCCCACAATATCTCTCACGTTCCGTGTTCTCCTGTCGTTAGTGAAGGGACTTTACGTCTTACCTGCGTATCTGAGAACGCTATGAGTTTGTGGGACTCCAGGCTATTCCTATAGCTCGGTTCTAGAATTCACATTCCTGGGTCCCTTGACCTACAGGGACCTAAGGTCTCACTATATTATACCTTATCTTGAAGGTGGCGTGCTGACCAAGAGTACCTCCACGAACTTTGACAGGTCGGGCATGGAACGGGATCGTACAGACGATTAATAAGATTATTCACTCTCCCCCTAATCAGTCGCCAGTCTCACGGACGGAAGTCCTGCTCCAACATGGTCGTTTCATTTTTTCGGCAGCCGGCATACACTTCGTACCGTTTTCGAAGCCCTTGCGGTCCACCACGCGAATACAGCAGGGAGGACAAGTGTTCGTCTATGCAGGACCCCATTACCCTTGGATCCGGACTACCTGTCACTCCCCGATGAAGATATATTTGGATGGAAATCTCCTCTAGTTTCGTTGCCCTCTTTTGGTTATATCCAGGATTTACAGTTCCCCAGAGTAGTCGATCACCATTTTGCTACGCTAGTTCAGTGTTGGGACTCTGATTGGACGTCTCTTGGGAGTACCTTATTCTAACACAGTTGCAGGTTACGCAGTCCATTTGGAGTACTGGAAACACTCTTCCCGGCTTAATAGGTTAATTCTCGGACGAGACCACTCACCAGTTAGGTCATGAGGGAACGATAAGACTATTCGGTTCGGTTACGGAATTGGTGGTAGACTCAGACGCATTACCTGAGGTTTGAATTTTGTCTACAAGGCCACATCACCTGGTGATTCCGGCACGATTGAAGAAGCCATCTTCCACATCAAAGGTCTGTTTTGGAAGCTGAGGAAACAATTTGCTAGTAATTCCAAAGCAGCAGTAAGGACAGAACATTAGCGACATCATGGGAATTCCAAAGCAGCACTAAGGAACATGGAATGTGAGAGACATCGTGGTCACGTATCTCCATGAGTAGGCCCTAGGCCAAGGGACCGAGGAATATGAATTCGAGAACAGAGTTATAGGAATAGCCTGGAGTCCTACAAACTCATAGTGTTGTCAGATACGCAGGTAAGACGTAAAGTCCCTTCACTAACGAGAGGAGAACACGGAACGTGAGAGACATTGTGGGAATTCCAAAGCAGCAGTAAGGACAGAACACGGAACGCGAGGGACATCGTGGGAATTCCAAAGCAGCAGTAAGGAAAGAACACGGAACGCAACAGGAAACGCCAGAGAACAGATATAGCAAACAAACAAGGTCCTAGCTTCAACCATCCGAAGCAGGGGCCGACCAGTTTGGGAACGTCAGCAGTCATATGCGAGCCTGCTACAGATCCTGAGCATTACTCCAGCTGTAGGTTGCATTCTGACTTTGACGTCTGTGTAGGAGTCAGGGTAAACAGGGTGCTCCCCCCCCCCATAGAGTTCAAGCAGGCCTCCTTGACGGTAGTTGAATAGGTGGGTTAGCGGAAACCCACAACCAAGAAGGTTCCCGTGAGGGATTAAAGCATAGAAGAGGGTCCTCCATAACCGAATCATGTTCTCAGAGGAGCAGAGTTAGTCCTGTCATCTATCCCAAGATTGTTAGCAACCAGGGAACCCAAAGTCAACCGAAGATTCCGTTCTTTGCATGTGATCTATGCGTACGGTGTACCTGCAGCCCGGGTTGTGGGCCTTCCCCAGTCTTGTCACGCGGGTAAGGCAGTGCACGTTTTCTCTATGAAGGCCTCAGGATCTCATGTCACCTTGACATGGGTAAAAACAGTCAGAACCGTTTGTACGCAATGGTCTGTATAACCTAGCCAGAGTGAGATTGTTTGTTTGATATAATGTAGATCATATTAAAACCTGCACTCTTGTAATAACTTAGGCACCTCCGTTAGCCATACCGTCTCCAGGAGTACATCCAATAGATAGGTATAGGGTCACCAATATAATGGGTCGATCCTGGGAGCTGTACCTAAGATGGTCAGTTCAAACAGCCCCTATACTGTCCCATAAAGTCTCAGGGCAGCATGTAAAATAAGGTGCGGAAACTCCCCCAGTAATATCTCAGTGAGTATTTCTCGCGTGAGATACAGTGGTACACTGAGAACAGTCTCCTGTATCCATCTCAGTATCGGACTGAGGTTGGAGGAGGGCCACGCCCTCTAATAACGAATCAGTGTCCGGTTCAGTATATGAGGGGCTCGTTCTCTACTCGTGTAAATAAATATCAGTCTTGGGCCGAGGTGATGGAGGGCCGCACCCTCTTGCAATTCAAACTAGAGTCCATATCAGGCTCAGGGTGACCAACTGCGGGGTTCACCATATAAAAATACCAGCGTAGGACTGAAGTCCTGAGGGGGGGTCCCTCTCTGACCACGAGACCTCTTCTCTGAATCACTTACCTGAGAGGTCGGATCAACTGGTAATAAACTAGACCGATGGTAGACGGAGTAGTGTATGACCTCGGGCCGTGCCCATCTTTAATAACAGAAAGGGATGTTGAAAGAAAGCAAACTCTGGAATAATGATGGAATCTACCAACGGACCGCCTGGATCCTGTGCGCGCGATCCAGGATGACCGTCGGTAGCCTGAGGAAAGCTGGAGACGTTCTCTGTGATCCACGAGAGCCCGGGAGGTCGGAGGAGGTCAAGTCAGGCCTATTGACGACCTGAGCGATAGGAGAATTGAAAGGCACGAAAACAAAGAAATGACAATTAATGTAGATAAAGGTAAATACGTACCTCGGAGAGAAGCTAAATGGCAGACCGGAAAAGCAAGTCAAGTAAACCCAACTGAAAGGGCCAGGAGCTAAACATGACGCAGGAATAACTACCAATACCTAAGATGGATACCGGAAAGGCAGCTAAAGGGATAGTTGCTAAAGACAAGGAAACTCCGTGCTCCCCTGTTGGTGTCGGAGTACTGGTCCCTGCATGTGTGAAGTTCTCCTTGGAGATGTGCCGTCGCCGCGCTGGCGTAAACCATGGTTGCGTGCCTGGGGATCTTTGTAACGGAACTCCCCGTACTCCGGCTGAGTACCTTCTGTTGATGGATATATACAACTTTTATATACAACTTTCCCAGCAAGGTGGGAGACCTTGTGGGGCACTGGAACTGTAAATTTAACAACCAATAAAACATACTTTTGCCATTTTTGTTACTTTGTGAGTTTACATGCAATATCAATAATGCAATATCAATTTTTATAACCAGCATAATTTGGGGACAAACATATCCAAAATTCACTTAAATCGGTTAAGTGGTTCAGGAGATGGGTGGAAGTCATATTCTGACCGAGGAGGGACAAAGCAGCTAGTTCCAACTGGTTTGGCAGTGTCCCTGGGACAACGCCCTGCTGGAGAACAATGGGACAGGGGGAGGGGAAGAGGCACACCTTCCCATGGATTCAAAGGGGCAGAAAAAGTTTCAATATGTCCATACACTGTTTTTAAAGGGCCAGCACTTGTCCAAATAAAAGTCCATAAGACCTATAGTGTTTTTAAAGGGCCACACACCCCCGGGCCATAGTTGCAGGGCAGGAGGCTGGCAAGCAAGCCTCTCCAGGACCAAGTGGGAAGAGCACTTCGTCACACATCTCCCCTTTGGGAGGGATACTAACCAGGCACTTGACCTTCTGTCGGTCAGTGCCTAAGTTAGTCGATCCACCCACCCACCCACCCACAAAAAACAAGTGCCAGAGTAGTCCACCCACAACAAACAGTTACAAGAGCAGCCCACCAACAACAAACCGTTACTGCACCTGGGTATTCCTCTGAGGTAACGTGGCAACACGCTGTGGGTGCTTGGGGGGCAGAGGCCAGCTGCCCTCTGCCCCGATGCCAGCGCTTCTGCTGGGGTAGCCTGGTGGGGACTTGGCTGAGGAGGGAAGACATCACTTACCCCCTCCTCCTGGTATTCCTGCGATGGTAGCTGCAGAGGGAGACCGACTGTCTCCACTCCCATACCATTGTTCTGCTGCTGGGGAGAGAGACTCTGCTCCCTGTGGGACACACTGCTGCTGGGGGGGGGAGGACGACACCTACGGCCCCCTGGGATGCATACTGCTGCTGGGGCGGGAGATTGCTCGTCTCCACTCCCAATCCAATACTCTGCCGCTGGAGAGGGAGACCGATTGTCTCCGCTCCCTGTAGTGCACACTGCCGCTGGGGAGAGAGGCCGGCTGCCTCCTCTCCCTGTAGAACACACTGCTGCTGGGGAGAAAGACCGGTTATCTCCTCTCACTGAAACTCACCCTGCCACTGGGGAGTGAGGCTGATTGCCTCCACTCCCTGTAGAACACACTGCTGCTGTGGAGAAAGACTGGTTGTCTCCTCTCCCTGAAGGACACGCTGTTGCTGGGGCGCAGGGATGGAATACTTTGCCATCTCTGCCCGCCATTCTGCCTCCTCCTGCAGCTCCTCGGACAGTTCTCTCTTCGTTTTCTGTACACGTTCCTCCTTTGGGTTGGGTCCATAGAAAGCCAACCGCTCCATGCTTGCTTGGTGTTCCCAGGATGCTGCTGCTCCTTGCACTAGGAAAGCCATCCCACCGCTGCCACCACTGTAACGGAACTCCCCGTACTCCGACTGAGTACCTTCCATTGATGGACGCTTCCTAGCTTGCGCCGAGGACCACAAGCACTGCACCAGACACCACAACCACCGCAGACTCCACAACCGCCATAGCTTAACTGGAGTCTCGCCGTCTTCTGTCCACCCTGGATCAGCTTCTGTCCTCCAGGACCGTGTGGGATAGACCTCTCCTGCAGGAGAGCGTATCAGGAACAAGCTCTTAAAAGTGCTAAGTGATTAAAGCTCAGGGGAGTATGCAGAGCATAGCAATCCCCAGTGTGAGTATAGCTGTCCCCTCCTATCATGAGACAAGACTACGTGGTGAGGGTCAAGAAAAACTGACTCCAATGAGCCTTTATTCCTGCTTATATAAAACTTTCCCAGCAAAGTTACCACCCACGTGGACCTTGTGGGGCACTGGAACTGTAAATTTAACAACCAATAAAATAAAGGCACATGGATAAGCACACCCACTTTTTACAATGAGAATCCTCCCCTCTGCTTGGGCAATAATTGAGTTAATTACTGTATCATCTCAATTATCTCCAAGCTAAAAAAACATACTTTTATGCCATTTTTGTAACTTTGTGAGTTTACCAATCTTATACTTCATACTTATATTTTTATAACCAGCATAATTTGGGGACAAACATATCCAAAATTCACTTGAATCGGTTAGGTGGTTCAGGAGATAGGTGGAAGTCATATTTTGACCGAGGAGGGACAAAGCAGCTAGTTCCAACTGGTTTGGCAGTGTCCCTGGGACAACGCCCTTCTGGAGAAAAATGGGACTGGGGGAGGGAAAGAGGCACACCTTCCCATGGCCTCTCCAGGACCAAGTGGCGAAGGGCACTTCGTTACAATCTTCATAAAAGCCTTGCCCCAAGGGCATGAGGTTTAGGGCCTTCACCCTTCCAATCACATTTAGGTGTCCGTGTACTGGTGTCCTTTTGGATAGTATGGCAGCAGTGCTTGTCTGGACACCCACCTATCTCCATGTCAATAGTGGGTACTGGGCTTTCCTCAGTGATATTCCCCCAGGCCTGAGGCAAAAGGGGGTTCGGGCACAGATAGATCAGGCCAAGCAATGGGCCCAGACATAGCTGGCCAATCAAATGGGCCCAGACATAGCTGGCCAATCACATGGGGCCAGACATAGCTGGCCAATCACATGGGCCCAGACATAGCTGGCCAATCACATGGGCCCAGACATAGCTGGCCAATCACATGGGCCCAGACATAGCTGGCCAATCACATGGGCCCAGACATAGCTGGCCAATCACATGGGCCCAGACATAGCTGGCCAATCACATGGGCCCAGACATAGCTGGCCAATTACATGGGCCCAGACATAGCTGGCCAATCACATGGGCCCAGACATAGCTGGCCAATCAGTGGGGCCCAGACCTAGCTGGTCAATCAGTGGGGCGCAGACCTAGCTGGCCAATCCATGGGCGCAGACCTAGCTGGCCAATCCATGGGCGCAGACCTAGCTGGCCAATCCATGGGCGCAGACCTAGCTGGCCAATCCATGGGGCAAGCAAGTGGTGCGTCTAGGGAGCCGGCCGCAGCAAGTGGCCATGCGGGAAATAAGTTCCGGGTGCTCACGCTGCTTGTGAGCCCTCCAGGGCCGGTAGACCGCGCACTGGACTGTCGGACCTGCACACCGTGGTCATGGAGGTCGGAGGTCTCGGAGGAGGCCGGTTGCAAAAAGCCTCCTGAGACCTCAGAGCGGTAAAAACTGCCAAAAATAAAATGGCAGAGGATAGAAAAAGGGGAATAATGGCAATAGACAGGGGGGTATATGAAGTCACAGTAAGGAATATGACGGTACAGTAAAGTATATAAAGGCACCGTAAGGTGTGTATATATAAAGGCACAGTAATGTCTATGAAGGCACAGTAAGGCTCACAAAGACCCCCACCCATGAATCCAAAGACAGTCTAACAAAAATATGGGAAGCATAAAATGCACTGAAAATCCCCCAATAAACCTCTATAAAGAGCTGTAAAAAGGCAATAAATCCCAAAGCCACCAACTAGAAGCAGGAGGCAGTGGTACTCTGACCTGTACTGATGCGGAGCAGCAAAGAAAGAGAAAATGATGCATAGGGAGGGGAGTTTTATAGTACCTAACTTTTTTCTGATTGGTTGTTTTCTGTGCTGCTGTGGAGTTCTAGTAAAGAGAGACTTAAGCAAATACAATACGAAGCCTCCTGTTATAAAATTACTTGCGTCATTACTTGTGACTTTATTATCCCTTTAATATTCCAATTTGCCTTCTGGTTTGGTTTTGATGCTCATTAAATGTTGTCTCCAATGTCTGCAGGCTGCTTGGATGAGGAATGGGAGAGTATGAAGGGGGACACTGGTCCATCAACTGGGAAGAAAAAAGTGAAGAAACAAGGAGAGAAGAAAAAAAAGAACAAAAATAAGACCTTAGGCATGAAAGACAAGAATATCCAGATTGAAAGCCCTGAAACACAGACTCTTCAAAATGGAGCCAAAGAGGAACTCTAGCATCCCATGAGCCTATAACCCAGCCTCTCTCCAACCAACCTGGGGTTTACCATATCCTATCTCCCAGTTGATATAACCTGTCTCCATCCAACCTGGGATGTACCATATCCCATCTCCCAGCTGATACAGCCTCTACCCCACCAACCTGGGCTTTACCATATCCCATCCCCTAGCTGATATATCCTCTCCCCAACTAACATGGGATTTGCCATATCCCAGCTGGTACAGCCTCTCCCCAACTAACATGGGATTTACCATATCCCATCTGCCAGCTGATATATCCTCTCCCCAACTAACATGGGATTTACCATATCCCATCTCCCAGCTGATATATCCTCTCCCCAACTAACATGGGATTTACCATATCCCAGCTGGTACAGCCTCTCCCCAACTAACATGGGATTTACCATATCCCATCCCCTAACTGATATATCCTCTCCCCAACTAACATGGGATTTACCATATCCCATCCCCTAGCTGATATATCTTCTCCCCAACTAACATGGGATTTACCATATCCCATCTCCCAGCTGATACAGATTCTCCCCAACTAACATGGGATTTACCATATCCCATCTCCCCACTGATACAGATTCTCCCCAACTAACATGGGATTTACCATATCCCAGCTGGTACAGCCTCTCCCCAACTAACATGGGATTTACCATATCCCATCCCCTAGCTGATATATCTTCTCCCCAACTAACATGGGATTTACCATATCCCATCTCCCAGCTGATACAGATTCTCCCCAACTAACATGGGATTTACCATATCCCAGCTGGTACAGCCTCTCCCCAACTAACATGGGATTTACCATATCCCATCTCCCAGCTGATACAGACTCTCCCCAACTAACATGGGATTTACCATATCCCATCTCCCAGCTGATACAGACTCTCCCCAACTAACATGGGATTTACCATATCCCATCTCCCAGCTGGTACAGCCTCTCCCCAACTAACATGGGATTTACCATATCCCATCCCCTAACTGATATATCCTCTCCCCAACTAACATGGGATTTACCATATCCCATCCCCTAGCTGATATATCCTCTCCCCAACTTACCTGGGGTTTGCCATCTCTTATCTCCCAGCTGGTACAGCCATTCCCCAACTAACTGGGGTTTACCATATCCATCTCCCAGCTGGTACAGCCCCTCTCCATCCAACCTGGGGTTTACAACATCCATCTACAAGCTGGTACAGCCTCTCTCCAACCAACCGGGGGTTCACCGTATCCCAATTTCCAGCTGATACAGCCTCTCTTCATCCAACCTGGGGTTTACCATATCCCATCTCCAAGCTGATGCAGCCTCTCGCCAGCTAACCTGGGGTTTACCATATCCATCTCCCAGCTGGTACAGCCCCTCTCCATCAAACCTCTGGTTTACCATATCCATTTCCCAGCTGCTACAGCTTATCTCCAGCCAACCTGGGGTTTACCACATCCCATCTCCCAGCTGATACTGCCTCTCCCCAACTATCCTGGGGTTTACTATATCCCACCTCTCAAATGATGCAGCTTCTTGCCATCCACCCTGGGGTTTACCATATCCATCTCTAAGCTGACATAAACTTTGTACTACAGACTCAGAGAGTACCTTTACCATCCCACCAACCTGAGGTTTATCTAATCTACGCTCCCAGGAGCTACAGGCTCAGCATATTTTGTGGATGCCTTTACCTCTGAACTCTGAATTACCCAAATACCAAAACAGTAGGGTATTTATAATGCCTCACACCCTTTGTCCCCTTCCTCTATTACATGGATTCTCCCCTTCATGTTGGAGCATATGATGAATTTCATGTCGAATGTCTGTTGAACGTTAGGGGGACGAGCTGTGAGATTTGACCTTTTGGAATTCTGATTCTTGGTCATTTTAACTCTGGAATCCAAGCACGCTCATATGGCTTTCTTCTGGGGTCTTAAGGATGCATTTGGCAGTCTTTACATGAAGTGTTATTTTCTAAGCATTTTATTGTTGCTGTATTTTTATAGGTCTTTAACTGTTTGTTTTATCTAAGTGGTTATGGCTCCCTCTGCTTTCGTCCAATTGCTCTAGTCACTCCAGCCATTACGCTCCCTCACTTTCTTAATTCACTCGTGGCTCGTAAGAGCTGTAGTCTGTTTAACCTGCAGTTGAACCTGTGTGAAACTGAGCTTTGACGCAAATCAGGTACTCCGCATGCTGCTCCATCCTACCATTGTCTTACGGTCTCTGTTTTCTACATCATTATACGACATTGCTGCCTGTGCTAAATTACACCACTTGCCTCCTGCCTCCACTCTCTTGTGCAAGTTTCTTTATTTATCTTTTCACTCATTTCTTATGTGCTCTATCCTTTTATTTTATCATCATGTATTTTTTTTGCTGTCATTGGTTTTATTTTTTCACATCTTCTGCCTCCCCATCAGTCCGTGAAGAGTGTCTTTTTTTTTTTTTGTGAAAAATTAATAAAATTATTTGAAGCCATTCTTTTCCAACCTCCCTTTTCTGCTAAAAATTCACAAATAAACAATTCTCTGGGGGGGAGCAAATACATTAAAACTTGCCTGATCTACAGTGATACGAATCGGATGGGTTTTATACTCTCTCTTTTTGACTGGTCAGGAATCCCTACCATAATCAGCAAGATTCTATTGTAGATTCACCTATTTGTATTTGTGCCAGGGACATAGTTTTGTACTTATAGTTTAGGGAACTTGACAGATTAGTTCTAAATTCCCAAGGATTCTAGTAGTTTTCCACTTCCAAGCAAGTGATAGCACTGCAGAGACTAGAAAATGAAAATTTCTTCAACCGTTGTTACTCTGTAATTTCTGCTATTTACCTGGCCAACATTTCCCAGAAAGATTTAAAAGGAGCACCCTCCCACCATATGTGTAGCATGGTACCTTTCTCTGAGACACAGCATACATTACTGGAACCTGGGTAAAGGCGTGCTAATCGTGCTGGTACTATGTACCACCTATATTGAAGTTTGCAGAGTATTTCCAGTAGGATTACACATGTAGTCAGACCCTTATGAATCTGGTAGGCCATTCTCCATTGTTCTTCACCTAATGATTTGCCCAGCACTTTATGCCAAGCTTGCATGAAGCTCCAGTCAAGTGCCCTCTCTGTGCTTGTAATTGAGGCATAGCACGCAGACCGTGTCTTTATCCTAAGGGCTTTTAGCAGACACATATTTTCAAACTTTGTGTGATCTCCCTGAACATTCAACACCTCTTCCCTGCTGTTCCCAGAAGTCAAGCTAGTTTAAATACGAAAAAAGTAAATGGAAGGTCTGGAATTGTTCCTGAACTTGCGGGAATGACGCAATTTCCCATTTGAGAACAACTGACCAACGTGTGTAATGCCATAATGTACCATTTTAAATAGTTAAAGGGACTTTCCAGTGCCAGGAAAACAATCAGTTTTCCTGGCACTGCAGGTCCCCTCTCCCTCCCACCTCCCATCCCCGGTTGCTGAAGGGGTGAAAACCCCTTCAGTGACTTACCAGAGGCAGCGACGATGTCCCACGTCGCTGCATCTTCCTCCGCTCACACTCCTCCCCTTCATCGCGTCAGCTGGCGGGGGAGACCTAATGCGCAATGCCGTGCATGCGCATTAGACCTCTCCATAGAAAAGCATTGAAAATGCTTTTCAATGCTTTCCTATGGGGATTTAAGCGACGCTTTTAGGTCCTCACACAGCGTGAGGACGTCCAGCGACGCTATAGCACAGAAAACCTGTGCTATAGACCAGGAAGTGCCCTCTACTGGTTGTCTAGTAGACAGTCACTAGAGGAGGAGTTAACCCTGCAAGGTAATTATTGCAGTTTATAAAAACTGCAGTAATTACACTTGCAGGGTTAAGGGTAGTGGGAGTTGGCACCCAGATCACTCCAATGGGCAGAAGTGGTCTGGGTGCCTGGAGTGTCCCTTTTAAACATCATGTTTTGAATGTGCAATGAATGTAATTTTGTGGCCATAGACCAAGGAATATTGCCACATGTCTAGTCACTCTACATTAGTTTAGTGTGCATCTTCTTTAAGACAACCAGTTTTAGCACCCAAAACAGTCTCCATCAGCTCTGTAGTCCCCACTTCCAGCATTACAGCTTGGCTGGGGCTGGGGTCTCGCTGTCCTCCAGCCACCCTGGTCCCAAGACCAGGATCCATCTTCCAGTTGGTAGACCTCTCCTCCAAGAGAGTGTAGCAATATGCTCTTAAAAGAGCAAGTGATTGTAATCCCAGGGGAGTATAGTGATATAGCAATCCCCAGCGTGATGCAGCCATTCTCCCTCACACACGAGATGAGACTCTATGTTGAAGGTAAGCAGGAATTTGTTTATTGGTAGCCACAACTGGCGTTATATGCAGGTCCCCATGCAAAGGGCACTCACCCCTGGGCCTGAGCGTAGACTACAGTAAAAACATACTCACGATTACATTGGTTCTCAGGTCCAGGACACTCCCATACAAAACAGGGTAATCCCTCCCCTGTGCCTGGGAGATAATTACTTGAATACACAAACATATAATTAAATTATCTCTCAGTACAAGAAACAATACAACAACACCCCAAACGTACCCCTTAAACACATGGAAACCCCTCAAAAGTCATAGCCCAATCTGGGAGACCAACATATCCAAAAATCATGTGGAAGTCATAATTTTGACCGGCCGTGCACATGGTCCTATGCCCAAAACAGTTCAATGCGATCAGGGCTAAAGGTCGGTCTCTCTCTGTACATAAATCACACAAATAGAGTCTTTAAAAGTATTTTAGCCAAGGTCTGTTGCAGGGGCCATAGTCCTGAGGCAGGAGGCTGGCAAGCAAGCCCCTCCAAGAACACGTCAGTCATACTGCCACGCATCCCCCCACCCAAGGGAAGACTAACCAGGTACCTGACCTGACCAGGTTGCTGTGCGGGGCTTTCTCCTTTGCTCCTAGCCTTGGCGCACTCTGAGCTTAGTGGGCAGAGGTCAGAGGCGCTCTGTCCTGTAGCCAGCCTGTGTGTGATCAAGCCCTTGACAAGGAAGAAGGGGAGGGCAGAGGCCAACTGCACTCTGCCCGGATGCCAGCGTTTCTGCTGGGGGGACCTGGGGACAGTCCGGCGCTGCAACAATGGGACTGGTAGGGCAGAGGCCAGCTGCTCTCTGCCCTGGTGACAGCTCTTCTGCCTGGAGGGGGTTAGTGGAGACTGCCGCCCCCTCCACTACCCCCAGGACCCGGTTGGGAATCTGCTGCTGAGAGGAGGAATCACCTACCCTCCTCCCTCTGGTATTCCTGCGGGGGTGGTTGGGGATCTCGACCGGCCATTCAGCATCCCTGTAGGTCTGGTGCAGAGACCTCTGTACCATCTGCACCATCCATTTCCGGTGTCCTGTCTTGGGCCAACAGGCACCGCTGCTGGGGAGTGGAACCAGTTGTCTCCACTCCCAGTATCTCCGGCTGTCGCTGGGGAGGGGGACTGATTATCCCTTCTCCCTGTACGGTATGCTGCCACTGAAGGGTAGGACCGACTGTTCTCCTTCCTGATACTTCCAGCTGGGGGTGGGCAGGGGGACCAGTTGTTCTCCCCTCCAGTAATGTCAGCTGCAGTTGAAAATCTGGGCCAGCTGCCCAGCATCCCTGTAGTCCCATCTCCACCTGCCAGTTGGGTTCCCCCCAGGACCAGACTATAAGGTCCCACTGTAATAGGGACCAGCTGTCTCCTCTTCCGGTATCTCTGGCTGCCGCGGGGGAGATGGACCAGTTGTCTCCTCTCCCTGAAAGGTAAGCTGCCGCTAGGGAGTAGGACAACTGTCCCTACTCCCGGTAGCTCCGGCTGTGGTTGGGGACCTGGGCCGGCTGCCCAACGTCCCTGTAGGGACGGTGGAGAGACCTCTGTCCCATCTCCACCTGCCGACTGGGGGTCTTCGCCGGACCAATTTATGAGGTCCTCTACTTCTGGAGCTGGTATTGAAGCAGGGGGTACTTCCCCAGCTGTAGGGTGGTAGGTCTGGGTCTGCCACTATGCTTTCCCTGCAGGGTATGTTGGGGCCGAATTGAGCTGAGCAGGTGTTGGTAATCCTGCTCCAGCTCCCACTCCATTGTCACCAGAGATGTCAGGTCTTGTCTCACCTAGTCAGCGGTAGCCCAATCATGCATGCCCTCAGATGTCCCAGAATCTGGACTCTCCAGTACTTCCGAACACCTGTTCTGCGAAGGCTTCCCACAACAGGCCAGGGCCATTGTAATCCTCACCCTCGGGCCTGTCTTGCTCAGCCATCCAGGGGGCATGCTGAACCGTGTACCACCATTGCGCCTGGTATGCGTCGTCCAACCAAAGCTCCTTTCATACCAGGCTCTCAATCTCTGTCACCAACTCCTCCAGAGACTGCTCTCACAGGAGGGGCATCCGCAGCGCCACTCGCATCTGTAGCTCTTGCTCCTCCCTGGGGAGACTTTCACCCCGCCGACACTGTAACCCCTCCAGGACCTCATATCAGACATCCTTCCAGGCTGCATCCCTCCAGTCCGGGTCATCCTCCTGAACACTGTCCAGGAACCAGCTGGTTCCATACTGCTGTAGCCAGGGGTGGTGTGCGGGTACTAGCGCTGCCCTCAATTATAATCCACACAATACCGGTGTCTCCAGGATGCTTCTCCTCGCTCTAAGAAGCCATTCCACTGCTGCCACCAGATGTGGCGGACTGCCTGGCACCCCGACTGGGTGCCTCCGGCAATCGATGGTTCCTAGTGCTCACCGAGTACTTCCAAGCACTCCACCAGACACCATCAGCTCTGTAGTCCCCACTCCCAGTGTTACAGCTTGGCTGGGGTCTCACTGTCCCTCACCCACCCTGGACCCAAGACCAGGAGCCAGCTTCTAGTAGGTAGAGCTCCCCTCTAAGAGAGTGTAGCAATATGCTCTTAAAAGAGCAAGTGATTACAATCCCAGCAAGGTATAGTGATATAGCAATCCCCAGCGTGATACAACTGTTCTCCCTCACACATTAGATGAGACTCTATGTTGAGGGTAAGCAGGAATTTGTTTATTGGCAGCCACAACTGGCCTTATATGCAGGTCCCCATGCAAGGTTCACTCCCCCCCTGGAACTGAGAGTAAACTATAGTAAAAACATACACACGATTACATTTGCTCTCAGGTACAGAACACTCCCATACAAAACGGGGTAATCCCTCCCCTGTGCCTGGGAGATAATTACTTGAATACACAAACATATAATTAAATTATCTCTCAGTACAAGAAACAATACAACAACACCCCAAACGTACCCCTTAAACACATGGAAACCCCTCAAAAGTCATAGCCCAATCTGGGAGACCAACATATCCAAAAATCATGTGGAAGTCATAATTTTGACCGGCCGTGCACATGGTCCTATGCCCAAAACAGTTCCATGCGATCAGGGCTAAAGGTCGGTCTCTCTCTGTGCCTGAGAGATAATTACTTGAATACACAAACATAGAATTAAATTCTCTCTCAGTATAAGAAATATGCAATACAACACCCCAAAAGTACCCCTAAAACCCATAAAACCCCCACAAAAGTCACATCCCCCGATAGCCCTGATCTGGGTGACCAACATATACAAAAATCACCCAGATTGTTTCAGGGGTTTGGGAATTCCATGGAAGTCATAATTTTGACCGACCGTGCACATGGTCCTATTCCCAAAATTGTTCCATGGGATCAGGGCTAATGGTCGGTCTCCATGAATGGAGCCTTTTTAAAGTATTTTAGCCAAGGTCTATTGCAGGGGCTATAGTCCTGAGGCAGGAGGCTGGCAAGCAGGCCCCTCCAAGAACACGTGGCAGAGGCATTACTGCCACACTTATCCACACTTATAAACCACTGACCAATTCTAGCACCTCCTATATCACTTTACTGATCAGCAGGAATGCCCCTTCGCGGACACTCAGCTCTGCCCTTCTCCTGTCCGCTCCTTGCACCCGTACGGCTAACTCACGGTTGCAGGACTTCTCGCGGGTGGCTCCTTTCCTTTGGAATAGCCTGCCTACGACCATCAAACTCTGCCCTAGTCTTCAATCATTTAAAAAGTGCCTCTAAACCCATCTCTTTAGGAAAGCTTATGGCCTCCCCGAGTAACCTCTACCTTACATACCTGTCCCTTGCTCTCTCCTAAAGGGCAGCACTCTATTCTCTCCTCCAGCTCTGCTTCAATCCACCTTGTTTGATTGCTACCTCCTGTACTGTTGTGTTTTGCGCCCCACCACCTATAGACTGTAAGCTTGTTTGAGCAGGGCCCTCTTTAACCTATTGTTCCTGTAAGGTTTTGTAATTGTCTCATTTATTGTTAAATCTCCCCCTTTGATAATATTGTAAAGTGCTACAGAATATGCTGGCGCTATATAAATACCAGTAATAACAATAAGAATAACATAAATGCTTATGCGCTTTTTTCTTAATTTCAATTCAAGTTGCTGCCATTGGGGCGCCTCTCCTTCGTGGTACGAAAGGAACAGTGCTTGTTGGATCCCATGTGTGAGAAGGGGTGGGCTCTTCAGGGGACCTAGGTTCCATTGGGAGCCCCAGAGCTTGAAGGAGTGTCTGTCAATGAGCCTATTTGTGTGCATCAATAAGATTGTCTGTCTGTGTGTGACTTTGCTTTACTGTATAATTTAATTACCCTAAAAGAACTAATATTTTGAATTAGAATAAGAAATGTATCAATAAAAAAAAAAAAATATATATATATATATATGCTAACTATAGAGGAGAGTTTCATAGTGGTGCCGTTGCACATTACTGACAAGGCTCTTGGCATTATCCAACGGTAATAGTCGGTGGGTCACTGGGCCCAGTGTTCTCTTTCTTTCGAGAGTGGTCCTGAAAAAAGGTGAGTTTGGTGGACTCTAAGTCAAGGCGTTTTGCCTTTCACAGCTGCAAAGATGTGATTTCTGTCCGTTAGGGATTGGCACTGCAGGATTACGTCTTGGGATGCTAGCAGTGGTGCCTGTCTTGGTTTGTTGATGCGAGAAATTCATTTGAATGCTAACTTTTTTGCCTGTGCATGTGGTAGCAAAGTAGCAAGACTTCTGAGATAGTGCGGTAGTTCGGACTGGACAATCTCATCAGGGATGCATCTAATTTTTATGTTTCCTCTGTGGCTTCAGTCCTCCGCGGCATCTAGCTTTATTGAGCAGGGTTGATTGGGAGGATTGGAGTTGAATCACGGTTTCTTTGAGGCCCTTCACTTCATGTTGTACATCTATTATGTCCTCTTCCGAGGTTTTCACTCGGTAAGTCACCGCTTGAACCTTTGTCCTCATTAGGTCCATGTCAGCAGCAGACATCTGCTTCAATTCTAGCAGAAGGTTTTGAATATCCAGTTTGGTAGCTGGAGTCAATGCATCAGGATCTATCTGTACCTCTGGGTGGAACTGGGGTCTGTGGCTTCCCCCAAGACATGCTCCGAACCTGTGGAGCCTGTATCTTTGTCAGACATGGCTGCTATCTTTAGGGCTACGGGGCACTGAGCATTGTGCCTATGTCGCAGGTGTCTTTGCACGCACCTATTGCTACTCGATGGGATTTTCTTCCCATTTCAGCTGAGGGTTCAGGCCACCCAGTCTCAGTGGGTGGTGAGATGAGCACACCGAGGTGGGAAGCATGGTCTTGAAGGCCGCGTAAGCAGAGTAGGCCTTAACTCTGCGGCGCACCTTCCTGCCCATCTGCAGGAATAAAAAGGGCATCAGTTGGTTGATGACGCTGCCGGCTTGTCTGTCCTGTAGGTGTGGCAAACCTAGCCACTTGGACATTATATAGAGACAATGGCTTTAAGGGTTGCCTGTATGGTTGTGGTGATATGTATGTACCTGGGTGTAATGTATGTTGACTGTATAGTACTGTATTGCCTGCATTGGCTATCTGCCAAAAGCAGATAGCTGGATTTCCTTTCGTTTCACGAACAGCGCCTTTGCGGGCTGTCCGTGAACCGAATAGACCAACATGTAATAGCCCACACATTGAGAGACGTGTGGCGCTTGTTAACCGATTGCAACAATGTTGCAATCGGTAATTAGAGGCTCACCTAGGTGGCAGTCGTTCGACTACTGACCACGCGGCGGTCGGCCATCTTGGATCCTTTGTTCCTCCAATGGTGTTCGGTCGTCGAGTGCGTGGTACTGAAAACGGCTACTCGACGGCGCGAACACCGCTGGACTTCCAGGCCGATCGGGAGTTCTGGGACCTTCGTAATTTACTCCCTGTAGGTCAATCGGTAGTTTGAATACAAGTGTTGGTGAATATGTTTTTCGTGCGGCGTTCGGTTGTTTTAGCTGGGATCTGAGCGGTAATCTCACGAATTGTGTGCCCAGACCCCAGCTATCTATCGAACATCCATTCGTGTAAATCACCCCAATATTGGGGAAGTTATGTATTTTCGTGTGAATTGTCGGTTCTGCTGCACGGAGGGATAATCCACTTAACTGTACATTCCAGTGGGAGGATCCCTTTTGTGCAGCAGTGCCTGATGGGAGAAATGCTCTGTACAATAAGTTTCCCATGTAGTCCACTCCTGTAATACCCCTGTGATGTGACTCAGGAAACCCCTTGCATGGGGAATTGTATAAATTCTGGAGCCTGTGAATAAAGCCTCAGTTGACTCCAAGAACTGTGTCTCGTCCGGTTACTGGGGGATTTGGGATATTGCCTTCCTTTTCAGCGCTGACTGTGGATTACTGAAGATACCAGCGTAATTCGTGTGTTTTCATACTGCTGATCCGCTACAGTAGGTGTATCGATCTGATATTGCTCCCGAAGCAGCGATTACAGTCGATTCTGTCGGTTTGCCATAGCACCAAGAATGGCGTCCGCACTGTTTAGTTGCTAAGCTCCACCCCATGATAAATTGATTGAATATCTTGGAAACCAAAACCTCCCTCCGCCACCGGCCTCATCAGAAGTCTGGCTTGGGGTCTCACTCTTTAGTAGCAGTATAAAGGGTTTGAAGTAAATGATGTAGTTAGCTTTTACAGGGCCTTAACGTCTAAAGTGAGCTGAATGCCCAAATATTTAAGGGTATTATTTTTAAATTGCAAACTTTATTGCCTCTGTATATCATTGGTGGCTGACAGGCCCGGGGGCATGGCACTAGATTTGCCATGGTTGATTTTGTATCCTGCCAGGTCTCCGAATGATACTAGAAGTTCATATAAAAAAGGTAGTGACCCAAAGAGAGCTTGAGAGGAGCCCCTACTTTGAGATGGTCTACCTAAGTGGTGGTTAGAGAAGCGGCAGCACTGGTTAGAGTATCTTGAAACATCCCACTGGGTTTGGTTTATTAGAACATAAACTTTACTGCAGCTGTTTTCAGTTGTTGTTTGTTCGTGGGTCTTTCTGCTTTAAGTTTTGTCTTCAGCAAGTGAAATGCATGCTCGAGCGGGTTGAGATCAGATGACTGACTTTTCAGAGTAATCCACTTTTTTGCCTTAAAAAAACTCCTGTGTTGCTTTTGCAGTGCTCCAATCCAATCAACTTTGCTCAATTTAGCTGAATCTGAGAAGACAATATATCCCGATACACTTCAGAATTCATCTGGCTGCTTCTATCTTCTGTCCCATCATCAATAAATACCAGTGACCCAGTGCCATTGGAAGCCATGCATGCCCATGCCATCACACTGCTGCTAACGTGTTATACAGATGTGGTATGCTTCGGATCATCAGCCGTTCCAAGCCTTCTCCGTACTTTTTTTTCTTCTTTGCATCATTCTGTTACAAGTTGATCTTAGTTTCATCTGTCTAAAGAACGCTGTTCCAGAAATGGGCTGGCTTTTTTAGATTTTTTTTGGCAAAATCTAATCTGGCCTTTCTGTTCTATAGGCTTATGAATGGTTTCCACCTCGTTGTGAACCCTCTGTATTTACTCTTGTGAAGCTTTCTCTTTATGGTAAACCAGGGCTTGACAAATTTGTTTAGAATCTAGGCGCCAGCTAAAAAATGTAGGAGCCAATTTTTAAAAAACTAATTTTAAGTTTAATTTTAAACTAGAAAAATGCAATTCTTAAGGGATACTATAGGCACCAGAACCATTACAGCTTAATGTAGTTGTTCAGGTGACTATAGCCGGTACCTGCAGAACTTTCAATGTAAACACTGTCTGTAACGGCACCCAGGGTATAGAAGGGGTTAACGCCGCCAAAGATGTTCCCTTCCCGAATACGAAGTAAGCTACACTCCTAAGCACCGAACAGGAAAACACACAAATAATCCCCCCCCCCCAAGTACGAGAAGAGGCTCTGTATTGAGGAACAAGCAGGAATCTGTTTAATGTGGGCTACGTCTTTTATGCAGGTCTTCCAACAAGGGACCTTGTCACCAACATGATAAACTGGGGCCTCCTTTCTATGCCTATCAGCAGCTCTTTTGTCTCCTTCAACAGTTCCCGGGAATCTCGTAATGCGGTTAGCCGGTCAGTGACTGCAGGAATGGAAGTAGTAATTGGGAGACTCACTAGAAAGGTTGGATGGTAACCATAATTAGCAAATAAAATGGGCTCAGGGAAGTGGAGCAGTGTTAGGCATTGTGGAAGACTGGGACAATTTTTTGCATTTACCAATCACAAACAGACACATGGATAAAGACTCCCACATGGACATTACAAACCCTCCTCTCTATCCTGGAGATAATTGGGTTAAGTGCTAGAATATACACCGTTCAATCGCCATGGAGCTAAAGTCTTGCACATAGTGTATTTGTCGTACGAATAGGCTCCATGGGTTGGCTATCTGGGCGGCTCTGTTCGTATAATCAATGTACTGAACGGCACTGCGTTCGTATGAATTGGTAACAGGACGAGGAAGGGTCGGCAACTTCAGCGGTGTTCGTATGAAACAGTGTCCGATTTTAGTTCCATGGGTTTTGTCGATGAACGCCGCTGGGCGTTTTAATGTCCAAGATGGCCGCCGCCAAGTGTTCGTTCATACGAACAACGCCCACCCAGCCGACTTTTCGGGAGTTGGAAGTGTCTGCGGTTAACCAAAAATTAAATGAGGGCAAAAAGGTTAACAAGCAGCACACTTCCCTGCTGGGTGGCCCGCCATTCGGTAGTTCTTTCGCATAAAGGGTAATGAAACATAGGGCCGTACGGACAAGTGGCAATTACCGAACAAACAGATGAACCAGGGTTAATGTAATGATATTGATGTTACAAAGTTTTGGAGTCCACTACCCAGATCAGCAATGTTTTCTGCCAGAGGTAGCCACTCGTTACCCAGGTGGTTGAGCCCCTGAGCCTTGCGTGGCCGTCTGGTTTTAAGCAGAGATGAGAGACTGGAACAGAAAGATGATAATCGTAGTGAAGCAAGCAGAGGTCAGTGGGAAGGAGAAGCAGCAAAGTCAAAACGGTCCAAATTCAGCAACAGGTAGAAGAAACAGGAACAAGCTTGATTAGAGAGTACAGGAACCACAATAATCTGGCAAAGGTACAGAGACAGGAAGTGGCTTATATAGGCCAAGAACCAGACACCTGACCAGACACAGCTGAAGAGAGTTGTCACTGATATCATTGCTTGTAGAGTCAAGGTTATCAGATCTCAGGTAAATTTGCAAAAGGTAGGCTGGTGTACTGGTAAGGAAGAAGTTAAGCAGCATGTAAACCAAGGTTCAAAACCCAGTTCCTCACATTACCTCCACCTCTATAGGCGCAGCCTCTGGATGCCCTATTTCCTGGTTTAGCAGGGTACTGTGCATAGAAAGACCGAAGAAGATCAGGAACGTGAATATTGTCCATTGGTTCCCACGATCTATCCTCCTCACCATAGCCTTTCCAATGAACCAAATATTGAAGCTTGTTGCGGAAGATCCTGGAGTCAAGAATTTTTTCCACCTCGCATTCATCTTCACCATCCACGAGGACTGGTGGTAGGGCAGGCAGGGCTCGACCAGGGAAAGTATTTTCATGAAAAGTTTTAAGCAATGCAACGTGAAACATCGGATGTATTTTCATGGAATCCGGAAGTTGCAGACGGAAGGTGACAGCATTGATCTGAGTGATGATCTCAAAAGGTCCCATGAACTTTTGACCCAATTTATGAGAAGGAATCCTAAGCTTGAGATTCTTTGTTGACAGCCAAACCTTGTCACCAACATGATACACTGGGGCCTCCTTTCTATGCCTATCAGCAGCTCTTTTGTCTCCTTCAACAGTTCCCGGGAATCTCGTAATGCGGTTAGCCGGTCAGTGACTGCAGGAATGGAAGTAGTAATTGGGAGACTCATTAGAAAGGTTGGATGGTAACCATAATTGGCAAATAAAATGGGCTCAGAGAAGTGGAGCAGTGTTAGGCATTATTATAGGCAAACTCCGCCGTGGGTAGAAAATTCAGCCAGTCATCCTGCAGGTAACTAATTTAGCACCGCAAATATTGTTCTAAAGTCTGGTTGGTTCGCTCAGTCTGTCCATTATTTTGTGGATGAAAAGCTGACGACAGATTTACATTAATACCTAGAATAGAACAAAAATATTTCCAAAAATTAGATGTAAACTGCACTCCCCTGTCAGAAATTACTTCATCAGGAACTCCATGCAAGCAAAATATTTCCCAAATAACTAGGTCAGCAGTCTGTTTAGCTGAAGGGAGACCACGAGCTGGTATGAAATATCTCATTTTAGTTAACCGGTCCACAACAACAAGAATGGTAGTGTGTTCCTTAGAGGGAGGTAGTTCCACAATAAAGTCCATGGATATAGATCCCCAGGGACGATGAGGAATTGGAAGAGGCTGAAGCAAGCCAACAGGGGATGAGCGAGGAGTCTAATGTCTGGCACATACATAACAAGAGGACACATACTTCTTAACATCCTCATAATATTTAGGCCACCAAAAGGATCGGGAAAGTAGTTCTTGTGTCTTTCCAATTCCTGGATGACCTGATGGTTTTGAGTCATGGTAGAGACGTAAAACGTCCAGTCGCACTGATTCTGGAAGAAACAGACTTTTTTGAAAAATCCAAAACCTATTAAGCCCATGAAGATCACGAGGAGGATCACGAAAAAATGGATCTTCAGCATAGCCCTTTTTAATGCGAGACATTAGATCAGAAGGAAAGGTAACTCCTAAAAATCTACTTTCCGGCAAGATGGTGGCCTTGGTTACTGTAGTATGGAGGGGGTCATCTATCCTAAACAAGGCACCGTACTAGGCCCTGGGGAGATAGCGCAGCTAAGCGGACAAGGGTGAAAGGGTTAATGCTGTAATGGACTCAAATCCCCTCGGTTCTCGATTACTCGGTCACCATAATCAATGTTGATGGAGAATCATTGTCAGCAAGAAGACACGGACAACAGCATGCTTGACAAGACTCTCAAACGAGTGTATTCCAGAGCTGGCTTTTATACATAGTTTGCTTACATTAGCCATGAGATATGCAAATACAGTACAGACTATAAGATTTATTACTTCCTTATATTACATGTTATTCTGACAATGGAAAGATAAGCTTTTGCATACGTCTGGGGAAGAATATCCTGAAATCGGAATGGGCAAGACATCCTGAGATTTAGCATTGTCTTACATCCTATAGAAGAAATACCTTAGTCTGTCACAGTCAGCATATTATGTCGTAAATTGAGTTTAACTATTTCATATCCTTTCAGTCAGCAATAATATTTATAAACCTTATAAAAGCATAAAATACATATGAACAAGTTAACTATTCCATATTCTTACATTCCCCTCTTTGAGCAATAAAAAAATTGCTCATCTTATCGATAAAATCTTACCAGGACAGAGAAACTTCCACATGGTATTTTCAGGGGTGCTAGTCACTCCCTGCGGGACTTTCATTAATTTCTTCACCTCGATTCCCATGTGGTAATTCCTAAGGCCCAGTTTAAAGATGGGTTGATACCCTCCAGTGGCAGAGAGGAGAATTTCTAATTGTTTCTGTTCTGCATTATGGATTAATTTCTGTACTCACTTCCTCAATGTACAACTAAGGTGACAGTTATATAAAATCATACACAATAAAATCAGGACTATAATAACAAAAGGATAGAAGAATGATTTCATTATCTGGGATCCAGTAGGGGACCAACCAGTAAAGCATTGTACCAATGATGGGCTAAATCATTCTGAATTTGTGAACTCACCTTAAGGAGTTCTCCTTTTAGGATATGTGTGGCTACCTGTGTGTGTTATCTTTGGGAAAATATAGTCCCCTGTGTATGTGGGTGCCCACCAGGTTAAATTCTTGGCAAAAAGATCATAAACTGGTACTGGTAATGTGTTAAATTGACAAGCTAATTTAACATCCTTTGATGATGTATGATATAATGTAAAATAGCATGAGCATGAAAAATGTGAAACATTACCAGTTAACCATCCATTGCATTTAGTGGATTGGGGTTTTAGAAGTAACCATTCATTATCTGTGAGGTTAAGCTTTCCTCTAATCTTCTCTAGTTTAGGAATCATTAGTGTGTCTTCTAATGCCAGTCTTTGTTGTTGCATCCATAAATACCTGATGGCACAAGTACTCCAGTTACTTAGACCTGTAGTGAATTTCATAGTTGCAACAGTTAAATTATCTAAATAATTATACATTGATTTATCTAAATCCAATCCTGTAACCTGTGATTTAACAACAATTGGAGCACAGTTTGCAGTAGCATGGAAACCAGTCCCTATATGCATGCTGGCCGTATTTAACTTATTCTTGATGGTCTCCATATCTATAACTATTTAGTATACCCATAGTGGTTCCAGCACCTCCTAACAGTGTGTCATACCATTCCCTTTTCTGCCTTTGTTTGTTGTATTACATAATGTTACAACAGGAGTAGTGATTTTTAATGACACATGTACAGCTTGTAAGAAGGCAGTTGTATTAAAACATGTGGACGGAATAGGTGTGTGTGTGTGTCGTGGTTGACTTTTGGTTCTATGGTAGTGGATGAAGGACAGTAATAAGGTGTAAAAATATAAGGTAGTGTATAGTTCTCAACTGCAGTGTCATTCATAATGACTAACATTTGTCCCCTTTTCCAATTAATGATACCAGTTATATAATCATTATTAAAAGTAATAAGGCCTGTCTGTTTACATTGATATGCAACCTTAACTGTGCACATTTCTGCATTATAAGATCTAACAATTTTCTGTGAACCTTCAAACAAACATAATGCATCGGTTTCATTAGCTGTGGACACATTTCATATGGGTAACTGGTACTTATAAGGGTTACTATTTGTCCAATTCATCCAAATGCGTTCAGTGAATGAATGATTGCATATTACATGCTGATAGAAAGGTGGTGGAGAAAGGTTCTTGAGGGGGCGTGTGTGACGAATGCTAGATGAGGGGCTAAGGCCTAATTGGGCTGGGGGTATTGAAGAATTGTTCATCATGTCAGAGTCTTTTTCCAGAACTTGCCATTGACTTGTACTCATAATGGCATTCAAGGAACAATATCAGAGGGAGTATAACAACTCCAGAAAGCATAGCGCACAACATAATCTTGGTCTCAGGTACGTATGATCCTCTCAATCTACGATATGGTGTAAAAGCCATGATGCTTCGCTGAGGAGAAATTCTTCTGTTTCCGAGCGAGGAGTGGTGTTGTCTTCCTTGGTTCCCCTCTTTGGACACAGCTTCACTCGGGATGCGTGAATCCAGATGTCATGGGAATCTGTGAGGACAGCGGTTCTGGGTACAACAATCACTGTAGCAGGTGGTCCAAAAGGGTATCCTCTTTTCTTGGTCCTGTTCAGCTGACGGATATACACCTTGTCACCAGGCTGGTATGAATGAGTAGGTTCCTGTGAAGGTAAGGGAAAACTGCGAAGAAACATTGTCATACATACCATTCGGTTTTATCAACAATTCCTGTACATATTGTTCTTGTATAAGCTGTAAATCCACAGACATTATAACAAGCGGTTCCCTGGCCCAGGGTGTGGGAAAAGGTCATCCCATCAAAATCTCAAATGGAGATAATTTAGTCACCTAGTGGGGATTCATTCTTATCTCAGCTAAAATAGCTGGTAGATATCTAGTCCAATTTACCCATGTTCCTGGGTAAATTCTGGGCTTTTCCTTAATAGTCCTATTCATCCTTTCAACTACCCCTGTATTCTGTGGATGATAGGGTATATGAAACTGCCAGGTAACTTGCAAGAATTTAGCAAGTTCCTGGGCAACCCCACTGGCAAAAACCGGGCCATTATCAGAGCCAATCTGCAGAGGGCAGCCATACCTGGGAATAATTTCAGTAACAATAATCTTCACTAGCATCTTCCCTAGATGTCACAAAGGCCACATGCCATCTACTAAACTGATCAACTCTGACCAGTAAGTATTGCTGTTTCTTACCAATTTTGGATACATGAATAAAATCAATCTGTAAGTGTGTAAAAAGAGCAGCGTTCACACGATCTTACAAAAGACTGTACATGCTGCCTGAGATTCCTAATATAAAATGAAGAATTGAATGGTTCTTGCTATGTGCCTGACTGATGAAAATAAAGCAGCTTGCTTCAAGTATGCCTATTCTTCAAGTATGCCTATTCTCCCCTCTTTAGAGAACAGATCATTTTGATCTTTCTCTAAACCTTGTTTAATCCAAAAGACAAATTCTGGGTAATAAAAAAAAATCTCATAACCACTTAAGCGCTGGGCTGTCATGTGTTGTGTGGTGAGATTTGTTATCAGCTGAGTGACCTGGTGACTGGCATGAAATATTGTAGGATGCCCTAGTGTGATAGTAGTAGCAGTTTCAACAGCCATTGCACATGCTATCAATGCTCTGAGACACGCTGGCATACCCTGTACCGGAGCTTGAACTACTTTGGAAAAGAATGCTATGGGACGCATACCGCCTCCTTGCTCTTGTGCACAGACTGCGGCCATGGTTTTACAATTGTCCCAAGCATACAAATGAAATGGTTTACAATACACAAGTAGTCCTAAAGCCTGGGCTTGCACAATAACAACTGTAAGGGCAATATATGCAGCTAGCATGTCTTGTGACCAGCAGACATTTTCAGGGCTGTCAGAACGTACAGCCTCCCTTAGGATTGAGTCATAATGGGAGCATTCAGGGATCCATTGGTGGCAGTAATTAATCATGCCGAGGAATGTGAGCAACTCCTTCCGAGTAGTGGGTTTAGGAATCCTCTGAATGACCTCAATACGTTTTGGACTCAATTGTCTGGTGCCTAAAGCCAGAACAAAACCTAAGTATTCAACCTTTGATTTACACAATTGCATTTTGTGTTTAACAACCTTGTGACCCACAGTTGCTGACAGTATCCACAGTGCTTGCCTCACATCTAGGGCTACATAACAACAAATCATCAACATTTTGCAAAAAGGACGGAACCATGACCGATGGTCCATGTTTTTTTTTTAGAGTATGTTGGAGTACCAACGAATAAACAGCTGGGGAATCCACATAGCCTTGGGTAAGCGTGTCCAGGTAAACTGACAGCCTTCAAAAAGTAAAAACCATAAGTAGCTGTGTCTCTTGATCAATAGGTATAGAAAAAAATGCATTACTTAAATCAATGACAGTGAAGCAAGTGGCATCATGTGGAATGGCTGTAATGAGGGATGTCACATCAGGGACAATGGGTGCAATGGGCACAATTAAACTATTCAGGGCTCTAAAGTCCTGAACTAAGCAATATGCTGGCCAGTGGTGTTGGGAGTGGGTCTGGTGTTGTTCTTGCCTACCGGGCATATTTTGAGAATTGTGGGGTTTTGGGGTGTGTGGGGTTTCCTGGGGTGTGGACACTCATTCCTCCACAGTTGAAACAAGTGTTCCTGTCTATTCCTCCTTGGTTACCCCTGCCCCTATAACCCTGATTTCCCTGTCTCCATCCCCTCACCCCTCTTTGACCACCCCTTCCACGGGCTTTATGTGCTCCATCCCATCCTCGCTCTCAGCCTGTGTAGGTGGACAGTGTTGCAATCCCTGAGCATAATAAGCAACCTTACTTTCCTAAATCTTTTCTTAAGTCAAAACAACCTGCATTTTCATTTTCTATAACCTTGGTAAGAAAATCTGAGCTATCCAAATTGGCCCAGTCTGAAATCAATTGTTTCACAAGCAAAGAATAATGTGGCAACATATTACCAAGGCATGACTGTATTTTAAAGAGATCTATATCATCTCCAGACATCAAACCTGCCTCATCCTTCCAACACTTGTAAAATTTATTTACAAAAATCATATTACCAATCTCTTCCTTTGCATCTTGCTTATATGCCAAAGCAGTGAATATAGACTGCTTATTCTTCCATAATCCCAACATTTCAGCTTCCACCTTGTTCCAAATTTTAGCACATCTTACTGAAGTACTAAGCTCATAATCACCAATTCATTTCAAACCATATAACTCATACTCCGCATCCAATGTAATATTAGTCATCTCATAAAGCAATATCTTTGTAGAAACACATAATGGGTACCCAGCAGATATGCCAATACAGAAATCACATTTATGGGCACACAACTACACACTCTGTCTCCCTCCTAGGAAACACGGATAGACACAATATAAAAGCAATCTTAAACTAACACCTCCAAATCTCCAACTATTCTTGGCCAAAACGCTAGTATTCAATAACTAATAAAACAGTTATTTGCTAGGTTATTTGGCTGTCATTCTTATCAGTATCACTAGACTGTGACAAACTGATTCACATATAATTTAAAACAATACAGCAACATATAAATTAAACCACTTTCAAGTTAAACTGCACACTTATCACACATTATCACAATCACCATTTACACAGAATAAACAGTTAACAGCTGTATTCAGAACATATTATTGGAAAGTATACCAATTTTAGTTTAGATTTATTTTAGGGATTCTTATGTATACATTTTCTTAATTAACTTCATTACTTTAATCTACTATAGTATTATATATAAAGAAAGGATCCATTTATATAGCGCGCTCATAACTCAACTATTTGTATAAAACTTCCATTAACTAATCTGAGATGATACTGCATCAATTTAAATCTTATAGAAATTGAACAAACATCTGGACCAGATTAAACAGACATGGTTTCACCTGAATCTTTCAGAACTCTCAGAGACTTAAAAAAAAATGTATTCTATACCATGTTTTAAAGGCATGGCAAACCTTTAGACCGGTCAGTCTCCAAGAGCCCTTTGTAACACAGGTAAAAACCTTTGTCCATGATGTCTGATTCAGGCTATATACCACAATTTAAAATAACACATAATGTGAGACATAGAAGACACAAGCAGTAGTTATTACACTGGATCATTTAAAAGGAACCTGTCGCAATAAAAAGGTTAGTTTACAGTGCAAAATGAAGCATGTGTTGGACCGCTGAAAATGTAAATGTTGCTCTGTTATTTTCAAACATAAATCATATTTAGTATGGATCCTTTGCAACAAACACACAGAGAAGGGAAGATGTGCTGATTGGTGTTCCATACAATTAATCCCATATGGGAATTAACTTTCAAATACTAATATAGTGACTTTTTGTCTCAGTATAAAATATACTGAGCTCATCATGCAAACAATGTAACACATTTACACTATCCCACTCTCATAGAAAGTGTAGTGGGCTTATGGTATTTTTAAAGCAACAATCATACCAGGCACACAGATCCCATGTGAAATAACTTACAATAAAACAGAGTAATAAACTTATACTTCTATGCGACAGAAAGAATAAAGTAAAACGATTTAAGTAGGTCTATCAGGTACAACCTGTGAGTCATTTCTTTTCTAATATACAGTACTGCTATCTTGCAGAAAGATAAGTCCTGCGCTCACTCCCATCACTACTGGGCAGCAGCAAGGACTACAGTACACATCAGCCCCAATATATGGTAAAAACCAAAGAAAAACAAGTTACCTGCGTTCTCTCCTTAATCCTTATGTATTTTTAAAACCTCCATTTGTTTAAAAGTACTGCTATCTTATATATACACATATACATATACACACACATATATACATACATATACACATATATACATACACATATTGGTCACTCAGGACCTGAACTCACATTTCCCATACTGCTGACTCAGAGTGGGGACACTACTAACTTACCAAAGTGTGTCCCCAATATAGACAAACAATCACCCACAAAGAACACTTAAGACAAACAAAGGTGACCGGGAGAAAGAGAAGTTTGGGTTATACTTATAGATCTATAAACTGTGCTCCTCAGAACACCTATAGTCTTAATAAACCGGAGACCTCTTATGGTCTCAAAACCTGTATCTACCTGAGATACCCTGTATCTATCTTAGATACTAACCTGGGTTACCAAAACCCTATATATTTAGACCAAATGTCTAATAAACCGGAGACCTCTTATAGTCTCAATATAAACCGGAGACCTCTCATGGTCTCAATATAACTAGAGTCCTTACACCTTTCCTATCTACTGGATACAGACTTACTGAACCAAAGGGGGGTCATAGACAATCAGCGTCAATAAGACACAAAAAGGCTACTCACCGCAAATGGTTTTGCTGATCCATCCATCCCACTTCTAGACACCAAGCTGAAAGGGTTAATGCTGTAATGGACTCTAATCCCCTCGGTTCTCGATCCCTCGGTCACCATAATCAAGTTGATGGAGAATCATTGTCAGCAAGAAGACACGGACAACAGCATGTTTGACAAGACTCTCAAACGAGTGTATTCCAGAGCTAGCTTTTATACATAGTTTGCTTACATTAGCCATGAGATATGCAAATACAGTACAGACTATAAGATTTATAACTTCATTATATTACATGTTATTCTGACAATGGAAAGATAAGCTTTTGCATACGTCTGGGGAAGAATATCCTGAAATCGGAATGGGCAAGACATCCTGAGATTTAGCATTGTCTTACATCCTATAGAAGAAATACCTTAGTCTTATGTCGTACATTGAGTTTAACTATTTCATATCCTTTCAGTCAGCAATAATATTTATAAACCTTATAAAAGCATAAAATACATATGAACAAGTTAACTATTCCATATTCTTACAAAGGGCGCATGTAGGAGTGTGGGGATAGATGCATGGGATTGGATGGGAAAGAGTGTGTGGGTGGGATTATGTTCTGTGTAAGTTAGTGTGGGGGAGGTCTTACCTCAGTGCCACTTGGGATTCGGGCCAGCAAACAGCTTCCTGTCCTGCTGCTCCTGTTTGCCTGGGCCTGCAGATTGACACGGCTTGAGGGATGGCGGTTGAGGCGATTCTGGCGTCCCTCAGGGCTGCTGCAGCGTGGATGGTGGCCGGCACCTAAGGGAGGAATTGGCAAGAATTACTGGAGGTATGGCTGCCGGTGTGGGCACCCCCCATGGCCTACCCTCCCCCTGGGGCACCCCCTGCTGCCTCCCATGCGGCCCCTGCCCCTGGGGGCCGCACCAGCACTGGCAGGCATTCCCACCCGCCTGCCAGGCTGTCCCTGGATCCTACTCCCCGGGCCCGGTTGAGGAGCAGGAGCCTGGGCCCGGGGCACTGTGGGGGCCACGTGTCTGGGGCTCCAGGCACGCAGCCTACTACTGGGGGCCGGGATCTGAGGCCGCGCGTGTGGCACGGCCTTCAGAAACGAGGCCTGCCACTGCCGTGCAGCCTGCTACCCCCATGGCCGCCCGGCCTGCTACTTACTGGGCCACCCAGCCGGCCTGCTCCTTCCTGGGCCGCCCACTACCTCCAGGCCGGAGATGCGGCCTGCAACTGCCGCGCGGCCTACTCCACTCCCCCCCCCTCCACACCATCCGCCCCGGCCGCCAGTGCTGGATTGCGGGCCGGGGGCGGTGGGCGGCGGATCCCGCGATCCGGGCGGCAGGTGGCCGCCCGGCAACTGTCCAGGTCCCCCGCGGCCGGCGGGGAGGTGAGTGGGGCCTCATGGGCCGCTGGGGGGGTCCCCTTGCCCGTCGGGAGCCTCCTCTGCCAGTGAGGAAGGCTCCCAGGGCTCTGTCTCCCTTCCCTCCCTCCCTCCCTATCCGGATGGCTTTACTATTTTCTTCCAGGGGGCCCAGCTTTCCCTTGCCTGGGCCCCCTGGTCCCCCCTCCTATTTCCTGTTTTTCTCTTCTCCCCCCCCCTCTACCTTGCCCCTCTACCTTGCCTGACCCCCCAACTCCCCCCAGGTCACTTACCTCGGCCATCTCCTCTGGGGCGGGGGCTCATCTTCTCTGCGCTTCTTCTCAGCATGCTGCTGCAGTTCGTGGATCCGTCCAGCAGGTGGCGCCTGGATCACAGCTGATGTCTTCTGTGGATGCTGGAACTGCTGTTTCTTTGCCTCAGCCTTCTGTGAGCGCAGTGCCGGGCTTGGATCACCAGGCTGCGTCCGGTGAGTACATTTCCCTTCTTTTAGCGCTTCGCGTGCGTACGTTCTTTCTTCCTAAAAAAATTAAAAAAATAAATAAAAAAATAAAAAAATTGATACAGACAGGGAAAAAATTACAGGACAGAAATACAAGGTAAATTACCTATTGGACTAAAAAAAAAAAAAGGAATCCAACATCGAGTACAAGGGGTAGAATTAAATATAATAAAAAAAAAAAGAATCCAACGTCAAGTGCAAGGGGGAGAATTCAATATATAAAAAGAATAAAATAAAAAAATTATATATATATATATGGGGAATCCACGATAAAACAAAATTTAGGTACCCCCTTTCCTTTTTCAGTATGTATTATACATTTAGGTACGCTTTCCCGCAGCGTCTGGCGCAGCTGATAGCGCCGGCGATGCCTCCCAGGTTCACGTGACTCTGGGCTGCTGAGCTCATGTGGCCCGCTTGGCTTGCGCGTAACGCTAGGGAGCAGATGGAGAATGGGGTTTTGTATCGAAGGATGTTCCCTCCTGCCACGGGGGTCCCTTGACTAAGGGGGACATTAGGGGCTCGGGGAGGGTCGTGGGGAGCATGCTGTGGTCGGATGCACCCCAGGGCGCATATCGGACAGGGCTCCCCGAGTCGGCGCTGCGTGGTTCAGCGGTCAGGACACTCTCGGGACGCGTATCGTCCCTGTGATAAGCTGGGTTGGTGGAGGTACGTTTTGCACTTTCGTCAACGGTTGGCAGTGCGACCCTTCTTGGCCTGGGGCCGGATGGGTTTTGCCGCTGGTTTTCTTTGGGGCTCACCTGGCCCCTCAGCACAGCGTGTTTTTTCCGTCCTCTCTGCAATCGGTCGGGATGGGGACCCTCAGTTCATGTGGGAGCTCCATCGGGCGATGTGGGTCCAGTTTACCAAGAACGCTTATAAGTTTACTTCCCAGTCGTTTAGGGTACCCCTGGAGTTCGCTGTGGTGCCCAAGGAGGAGGAGCAGGGTCAGTATCTCCAGATTACTTATTTGCTCAGTTGTCGTTTCCTTCCAGGGGCTAGGTTTGGGATGATGGCTCGGCGCAGCGGGCTGCGTGGGTGGGGCTGCGGGGCCTTGCTGACAAAGGCGGCTGTGGAATCGGTTTTACGGCTGCTGCCGGTACGCCCGTCGGGTTTATTGTTTCCAGGTTGTGTTCCCGACGGTCAGGATTGGGTGGTTATGTGCCTTCATGTAGGTTGCTCCCGATGTCATTTATGTGTGGGGCCGTCGGTGCAGCATGTCCGCACTCTACTGCTACAGTGTTTTTCCTGGGGTAGTTTTAGGAGTTTCGGAGTTCCGTGGCCCAGGCCATATCCGTAGGTTGGGATACGGGCTGTAGTCTCCTGGATAGTGGGATCGATTCCTGCAACGGGACGTCGGTTGCCCCTGACTGCGGTTTGGGACATCGGGCAGTATGCGTCGGTGGTTTTGTAGGGCGTCGCGGGTTTAGGCTGCACTACCTTTGGACTCTCCTGGGTTTGCTGGGCTTTGCTTGTTGGGATTGCCCTTGGGACTGTATGGGGTTTCTTCTGGGCCTCCCTTAACGATGGTTTGTGCAATCTGGCCCCCCCCCCCCAAGTCTTTCCGCTGACTTCCAGTTGTTTGCTGCTGCAGCAGGTTTTGGGGGGTTTTGGGCCAATTTGGGCTCTCAATGGTGTGCTGACTCTTGCCCATTACACTGGCAAGGATCGGTTTTCTGGCAGACTTTGGGGTTCTTGGAGCTTCCCCTTTCTGGTGGCATGGTAGGCATGGGGTGCCCGGCTCTAGAACAGGTAGGTGGGTTTTCCTTTGGGACCATCGTGGGGCGGTGAGGGCTGTCTTGTAATGTAACAGTACACTTTACCCCAGTGTTACTCTGGTTGTAGCGCCTGGCTTGGCGCTGTGTGAATCTAGGGCGGCTGGTCTTAGTTTTTTTTTGTGTCCGAGTATTCCCGATGTGGTGGCCGATGCTCTGTCTTGGTCATTATTGGGCATACTTCGGGCAGAGGTGTCACGGGGTCGATGTTAGGGCAGTGGAGGTGGTCGCCTGGTCCAACGGTCTGATGAAGCTGGTCCGTGGGTCGCCCTATGAGGCGGCGTGGGGCCCACTCCAGTATGGCGGGAGTGATCGGGACGGATGGGGACGTTTCCTTGTAGGTTCCGGGAGTGGACTGCTCATCTACATGTTTGGTTCCGTCTGTTGAGGGCGCTAGGGGTGATTTATGCGATTGGCAGGGCTCGGCTTCCTGTTCATGTTACAGTTGTCGGGAAGTGGTGGGGTGTTTTGGTGGACAGACTTATTTTAGGTTTCGCCGCTCGACTGCTGTTGTCGTTGGGACGGGTAAGTCAGTTGCGGTGTGGCTGATGCGTCGATGGAATCTGTGCGATTCTTGGATGTTTCGGGGTTGATGTGCCCTGGCTTTTCCGCTTTCTCCTAAGGTAGATGGAATGCACGGGGTAATGGTTGGGCTCCTAACACGATGTAACGGGTTCCCAGGATGGCCTGACAAATTCCGTTCTGATCGGAGGCGGTGCAGGTTTCCGTCATTTGCCTGAAAGTTGGTGGGGAGTTCGAGGGGCATTTATTCTGGTTTGGGATGGCTACGGTCGCTGCCAGGCTTGGCGTGCCTGCGCCAATGGTTCAGGGGCTCGAATTTTGGGAGTCAGGGTGGTGGTTCCTTCAGGTTCACCCTGCTGGTCTCCGAATGGATTTCTCACTGCGGTTACGGAAAGGGGATGTGGGATGCTCGTGTGTAGTTTGGGCCAGGAGGCGGGGGCGAGTGGTTGGATCTTACGCCTTCGGGAGCGGAGGTTCAGTGGTCTGGCACCAGTTACATGGTGGGGGTGTGGTCCTCCTCGTACGGGGTCGGCTGTCCCGCCTCTTGGAGGTACCAGGGTTTTTTTGTCATCTCTGGGTGGAATGATCTGAGGGTGCTCTTGAATCTGGACATGTTACACATTCTGTTTCTTACCAGAGGTTCTCAGGGGCCGGGCTGAGGCTATCACCTGTTCCTGTTGGCAGTGCGCTCAGTGATGTGAGTGCCCTGGTGCGCTGCCGTCGGGAATCGGACGAGGTGGGTTTCTTGTTTTGGCTTGGGGGATTCCAGTTCACCTTGGGGTGTGGCCGGATGTGGCCTAGTTATCTCGAGGTGATGGGTGCGCTTGCTGGAGGTCGGATGAGGCCTATGTTGATGGTGCACTGAGGACGACTCCGGCTGGAGATGAAACGCAATTGCTGCTAGATCAAAGGATTGTATCTGGTACTTTTTCTTGTTTCCTCTGCAGTGTT